AAGAATGACCTTTCTCTAATTCTATGTTGTTTTGAGTCCTTGCTAGTTCCCGAAAAAACTCAGACACAAAAGGGAACCACCACCTACATCAATAGGGTTAAGGAAAGTACCTGAATGTCTTTCGGGAAACTTCTATCCCTGTCCCAAGTCCTGACTGAATGGCATTGATCAACTCATTTAAACTAGTTGGTTTTCAATTTCCTTTATTTTCCAGTTAAAAAAGGGAGAGGATATTGAAATGATTATCATTAAAATCCTCTTCAGGAACGGGGGTTTAGGTAAATGTCCTTAGGTAAAAACCTTAAAAAATGAAAGGAAAATTTTGGCATATTTTAAAAATTTTATCCTCTTTATTCATTTTCCTTTAGTGTTCAGATATGAACGAGCAGAGAGCTTGGCTTCTCTTAAGTCCTTCCATAACATTTTATCATTTCAAAACACTAAACCTAACCTAACAGAAGAGAAGTTCCGGGGGAGGAAGTCCTTCACTGGCAGCCAGCATAATTTAAGAGCTGAACTGAATGTAAAGTAGCTGCTTAAAAAGCTCAAAAATCTTCATCTTCTTTTCATAAATATGAAGATTATAATTTGGCCAAGGAAAACACTGAAAGTTACTCTTACTCTCTGATAAAAAGAGTTTGCCCAGCTAAGAAACAGGAATAAGATTAACAGAGTCTATACTTAAGAAAATAGATCTTAAGAAAAATGTTAAAGCACTCTTTAACAAATATCAAATTGAATTTCAATGAATAATTACCTGCTTCCAAGGACTGGTGTACTCTGCTTAGGCTAGTTTTCTGCAGAAAACAATAAAATTACATTTCTTTAAAAATTATCTGCAATTCAGACTTTTCATTTGCTTTCCATTTAGTATGATTGATTCATTTTTATTTACTGTATTTAACCTGTTGAGACCAGGCACAACTCTGGACTTGACAATGCCAAGCAAAGTCAAACAAAATGTGTCTGCTCTTTATTATGTTTTGTAGCTAAAACTTTTTTTAAAAAAAGCAATTAAAAATCCACAATTATTTTGTTTCCTTTTTTATATTTTTAGTTAATATGGTCTATATTCAGAGATACTTGGGTGGTAGGAAGGGAAGGAGAAAGAAAACCACCCCTAAAAGAGAAGCACATTTGTTTGGTACTTTGAACAAAAAACCAAAACACTAAAAACAGAGTTGCTTTCCATCTGTTCTAATTCCCACTTGGAAAATACTCTCCACATGCAGACACAATTAAGATTTACTCAGCAGTAATAAATACCTAAGCAGACAGATGATGTGTGTGTTCTTGTCATCTGCCTCCTGGCAAATGAAATTCAAGCACAAAGGATTCTTCAGCTACATGTTTGATCTCGCCCTTCCCAATACAAGGATGACTATAGGGATGTACGAGCTTCCCCTGAAATTTACACCACTTACTGTGAATTGTCTAATGAAATTGCCTCACACCGCTGACTTCAAGGGGGAAAAAGTTCTCTTTTGGCCATTTCTAGTTACTGATAATTCGCAAAGTGAATCTGCTTCTTGGCAAACTTTACAGATAAACTTTTCCGCAGTATTCAGCTAACATCCTAAACTACGTCTAGATTTAGATATAAATGTGTGCTTTGTTTTTCTCCTAATTTGCAACAGGAAATAGTGAGAAGCTGGCAGTTTCGCAAATGACCGTTGTGCTTACTGCTAAATTTTTTTGAATTTTAGGCAAAAGTAGATTGAGGCGAAGAAATAAACCCCAAATGTGGCACATCTACTCACTTGAAACACAACTGTTATTGGCTTCACAAAGCTTTTGCAACTATAAGGTCTTATTTTTGCTCGCCCAATCTGTCCCTGGAAAAGTAGTGTTCATTTGTAACGAGCTCTGGAGCAGGACTAAAGTCACGAGGACCTCTTAATTGTTGGTGACAACATTCAGCCTAGTCTTAGCCCACACTTTATTTTGGCCAGCTGGGTCGTAACTGCGAGAAACCCTGCCGGCCCAAAGGACTTGGCGGTTAGCTCAGTTTTCTGTTTTCTTTTTTCTCTACTCGCCACTAGGTTGCACTAGCTTAAGGATGCTGTGGAAAATATGCGTCATTTAATTTTTTTAAAAAGTAGAATCATCACGTGACGAGAGACAGACAGACAGGCAGATAGACAGACACGGGAGAAAGCCAAATCGATCGGGTTTATCCATCGAAATCCCGTTTAAACTGCCTTCCCTCAAAAGACCGAAAGAGCTGAAATGTATCAAATCCTAGTTGGCAGGTTTTTCCCCTGGTTCCACCTCACAAGCTCCTTAATTCTCCGCTTTCAGGTTCCTTTCCACTCTACAACGATGAGCCAAGGGGAACGCCTCCTTAAACTGAGGTTTTCGCCCCAAAAGCTAGGGTCGCCCCCCTGGGAAGTCCCCTATTTAGGGGTTTATCGGGAGGGGACTGAGCCTGACGAGGCTGCAGGGCCGCGAGGCCCCGCCCCCCCCGGGTTCCCAGCACGCCCCGCGCGGGGAGGACTAGGCGGCGGGGGAGGGGCGGAGGAAGGGGCGGAGCGACAGGGAGAAAAGGGCGTCGGTTTTGCGACAGGGGCGGTTCGGTGCGGAAGCGGAAGTGGAGGGTGCGCTTGGCGGCGGCGGCGGGAGCTGCGGAGTCGGGAATCAAAACAAAGGGCCTGGGGGGGGGCGGGGGAAAGGCGGTGGGCCGGAATGTGAGCGGTGGTGGAGCTGTCGGCTGAGGTGAGTGAGCTGGCGGTGCTGGGAACTAGTTCCTGATGGGCCCACTGCTCTGGGGCCACCAGACTGGAGGGGTGACAGTGTCCCCCCCCACCCCCGTTACCTTCCCCATTGCTGGCCGAGGTGGTGGAAGTTGGCTAGTCCTAGGGGAAGGACTCGGACCCACCAGTCAGGCCCCCGCTGAAGGTTTGGGTTGTCTCCCTTTCACGTCCGTTCACGGCTGTCATTGCATTGCCGCTACTGCCTTTTTGGGGTGTTCGGCTTTCCTCCCGCATCTGTCTCCCTGCTCCCTATGGGGCCCTCCAGGTGTGGAGAGCAGCCTTTCCGAAAAGTGCGCCCGGAAAGACCGGGCGGGTGTTTTCTCAAACCCCCTGAGAGTTTTGCATCAGTTTTTCAGCTTTCTCTAGGGTGTAGCCTCTGGTTTGACAGATAATGTTGAGTTTTCTTAGGGCTCGAGCCACTCCCACTACTAATAGTAACGCGACACCGTGATACACCTTTTAGAGTCTCTCAAGCACCTTTTTGGTATTACCAAGAGCTTTCCAGTTACATTTGTATCTTTTGGATTTCTCAATATCTCTGACCAGTAAATACTGTTTTGCATTCAGGGAAATTGAAAACTAATTGAAACGGTTTTCCTAGACATTTATCGAACTCTTCATTCGTTCAATTGACATGTACCAGGCACTGTGCTAGATGCAGGAGATACAAAACTAAGAAAACATGATCTGTGCTATCATGAAGTGTATATTTAAGTGGAGGAGACAAAAAGAAAAAGCAAATAAGGTAATTTTAGATAGAAGAACTATATGGGGTAAAAAATGGTAATATGATGGGATGGTGTGGTGGTCAAGGACTAGATTGGGTATTAAGAGAAGGCCACTGCTAAAGTTTCTACTTTGATCAATTCATGGAGTCAAACAACAGCTCTGTGAAGTTGCTACTGTTATTATCAGGCCCATTCTACAAGTGGGGTCTTAGGTTCACAGAGGTTGTGAGTTGTCCAAAGCTGCACAGATAGGAAGCAGCAGAATTGAGGATTAGTACGCAGATAGTCTGACTTCAGAGTCTGTGCTCTCAACCACTATCTGAATTGCTCAAAGACTCGGAGGGATAATAGCAGAATTGAGATTTCCACTCAAATCAAATAGAATTTGCTTCAGCTACTTAAATTCCTTAGTGGCATTCCTAGGAATATTGGAGGAAATTCCTGGGTGCAGGCCAGAAATTTGTTACTGTGTTGAGCAATAGTGAAGGCACCCTGATGTGATAGAAAGAGGTTGACAAGCCCACTTTCTATTTGTGTGATCTTGAGAAAGTTACAAAATTTCCTTAAACTTGTCTCCTTCTCTGTAATATAAGGCCAATTTCTCCCTTGTCTATCTCACAGATATACCGTGGGAGGGGAAAAATTACATAAATGGATCTCATTATCTGATTGTTTTCATCATTGTATCTCTTTGCCAAGCATAGGCCTGCTACATAGGAGGTAATAAGTAAATATTTGGTGACTTTAGAAATAATGTTAAGTAAAAATGGTTAATAAATTGTATTGTACTCTACCTGTCAACTCACTTTCAGGATTGGCCTTGAGGTTTGCGGGAGCATGTCGAAGTCGTGTATGTCATGAACATCACAATTTCTCATGATCTAGGAGAGATAGTGGGGAGATATAAGACCTGTATTTAATAGGAAAAGCAAGTACAATAATTTACTAGCATATACTAGGTAAACAGCTTTATTCATTCCCTTATCCAACAAATATTTACTTAGTATATACTAAGTAGCCAGGCCCTGTGCTTGGCATAGGTGACACAATAGTGAAAACAAAAAGATGGGCTCCTTTATCTAATTGTTTTCCCTCTCAATCCTGTGAGGTGGGCATGGGAGAAATTAGCCACGCTTTACAGAGGAAGAAGCCAAAATTTAATAGGAAAAGCAAAAGAAGTTTTGTAGCTTCAACATAAAATTCCCAATAGTAAATATTTTAGGCTTTGTGGGCCATAAAGTCTCAGTTGCAAATACTCAACTCTGCAAAAATGAACTATAGTGTAAAAATGAACCATAGATAATACTTACAACAAACGAGTATGGCCACGTCTTGATAAAGGTATTTATAGACACTGAAATTTGAATTTCATACAATTTTATGTCATAAAACATTATTTTGATTTTTTTCTAAGACTTTAAAAACGTAAAATATATTCTTAGTTCAAGGGCCATTTAAATGCAAGCAGTGGGCTGGTTTTGGCTGGCAGGCTATAGTTCACCCATCCCTGCTTTATGTGATCAGCTGTCCTATACCTTAGAAACAGTACTTGTATAGTCATCTCGTCCCTCACCATACTATGTAGATGTTAAAATGCTTGAAAAGAGCATCTTATCAGAGAGATAACTAAAAGGGAATTCTTTTCTATATGACTAGATTAAATTTCTGAAAGATAAATTAATAACCTTAAAATGGTCACTGTAGGTAAGGGTAGGTGGTTGTTGGGGTATGATGGCGAGGACTTGGGAATGAGATTCAGTTGTCCTTACCATTGGCAGGCTGCCTTCAGGCCCAATGGCTATTATTGATTTGATCTGCTTTTATTCTACTGTTTAAGTGTTGTTGCCCTGGAGTAGATATAACAGTTGTGACTTGATATTTCTGTTAAGATTTTTGGTGGTATACTAGATTGAACTTTAATAATGACTAAACTAAGAAATTGGTTCGATTTGTTCTATAGCAGAATCGAATTCAAAGTCCACGGAGGTCACTTAATTTGGACCTTACATACTCATATCAAACACAGTAGGATAAGTTGCTTTTAAATCAATTTCAAAATCTTATGTAACTGGTAATGAGGACATGTGGTGGTTCTTTTACTAAAATTACATGCTCTTTGCTGTTAACTTTTTGATTCTCACAAACAATCTTCAGGGAGAGTCGAGAATTAAGAAAACCTATAGTCTCACATTTGAATAGTAAAATTTGTACTTATGCATATAAATAACATTGAAATCTCATTCTTAACAGGGTGGAAGAATGAAAGAAAAGAAAGATGAAAGAATGTTGAACCACTTCGTGTGGCTGTATGATGGAAGGAAACAGAACTGAGAACTCCAGCAGTAGAACACTTGGATGGCTTCAACAAGATAATGACGCTAAGCCATGGCTTTGGAAATTCTCTAATTGCTTTTCTCGTCCTGAGCAGACATTGCCACTTAGTCCCCAAACGGTAACTGTGTGCAAGACTAAGGACACAGCAATTTCCTAAGGCAAATAGATGAGAGGTCCACTTGGTCTGGGGCGGTCTCCCTCCTTGGACTTGGAGTTTGTGCTAAGTTTCCCCTTGTATCTTGCTTATATTACTCCTTGTAGCACATTATTGTAATTCCTTACACAATGAGAGCATAATTTTTTAACTACTGCACTTTGATGTTTTAAATATTTAATGTTAACATCTTGAGAAGATTCGTTTCTCAAAGTCACAGATTCCAAAGATAAAATCCACATTATAGAATAAAATCAGAGGACAATATAAAATAGATTTTATTTTACTGTGGCCTTCTGAGTCTTATGACATCAGTAATTTGGGTCATTTCAGAAATGTTTTACTTTAGGGGCAAGTGACAGCATTGGCAGCTCAAGCAGGGCTTCCTGGGAGGGCAGATCTGGCTCTCAAGTAGTCAAATGATACAGAATTGTGCTGACAACTTTACAGATCCAGAAACTTGATTTTTGTCAGTGGCATCCAGAATTAAGTATGTTCAAGGGGACCAGCTCACAATAAACCTGCCCATAAGAGCCAGGTATCTATAAATCAGAATGCCAGTCATTTCCAGCCTGAACTGTAATTACGGAGGGAGCAGAACACACTGCTTGTTGGATGATCAGCCCATGGCTGTTGCCTCCCTTTTAGGAAAGTCTAACTGAAAATCCAGATTTCTCCCAGATGAGTATAGAATCACAGCAAAAGGAGTGAAATCATGGCAGTCGTATGGACTCTTCTTTGCTCCGAGGGGTGAGCATGTCTCGATCCCTGTAAGGGCTTAATAGTGCCTGCCATCAGCCCATACAGGCTCTTGATCAGTTAGATCTCCCTTCAGTGGCCAGCTGCTCTGCTGTGTGTGCACGATCTCATTTTGTCCTCTTAATAACTGTAGGAGGTATATCTCATTGTTCAATATCAATTGAAGGATGAGGAAACGGAAGTAACTTATCCAAGGTCATAAAACTGTTAAGTATCCCATGCAAACCCAGGCCTCTGACATCAATGCCATGCCATAACCTTTGTAAATATACTGACTTCCCGTGTCTATTTTAGAAGCATGTGACAAACTATTTCTCTTGTACCTTTTCCCAGGTAGTTTTCTAATTACTGTAATGCTTTTCACTGGCTACAGAATAATTGTTGGCATTATGGCTTTAGGTCATGATATCCTAGGGTTTGCTAAGTGTCATCAGTAATGCATTTACCGACCTTCGCACAGATGGGCTACTTGGGCAGATGGCTGAGCTCATCCATAATGTTTGGAATCTGCTTCTCTGGAGGACCTTACTAAAACTCCTTATGATCTGACTGTAAGAACTATTAAGTATTTTCCTCAAAGCACTTTGCTCGTCAGCCGTCTTTATTGAATGCTGTTTGTGACTGTGTTGTTTTCATACCACCTATTTTGTCTTCAGAAGATGCTGTGAGGCAAGGGGAAGTTATCAAAGGGAAGTAACGGAGACGTAGATGGTTAACTGGGCTTGCTGAAGACACTTCCCCCAGTCTCTTAAAACTCAGGAAGAGTGCAGTCTTAATTTTAGTCTGTTTCCATGTTCACCCTCTGCAGACCTCTCTGAAGAATGCCCCTGGTTTTAGCTGCCATTCCATTTTGTTTGGTCATGATCGAGTGGTGTAAACAGGATTAAACACTGTCTCCATGGTTGAATGCAGTGAGATGTAACCAGAAATCACTGGCCTCATAAAATTAACTTGTATTCTGATTTTCTTTTCTCAGAAAGAGTACATGGAGAACAAGAAAGTTGCTGTGGAATTAAAGGATGTACCATCTCCCCTTCATGCTGGCTCTAAACTTTTTCCTGCAGTCCCACTTCCAGATATTCATTCTCTTCAGCAACCTAAAATACAGCTTTCAGCTGTCCCCAAAGTAAGCTGCTGTGCTCATTGCACTAATGAACCCTCCACTTCACCAATGCATTTTGGTGGTGGCGGTGGCGGTGGCGGTGGCGGAGGTGCTGGTAGCTTGATTCACACGGGCACACTGTTAGACTCGCAAAGCACCAGGACAATCACGTGTCAGGTAGGGTCAGGGTTTGCTTTCCAGTCTGCATCTTCACTCCAGAATGCCTCAGCTAGGAACAATTTGGCCGGCATTGCAAGTGACTTTCCCAGCATGTGTCTAGAAAGTAATGTATCTTCCCGCCAACACCTGCCCTGTTGTGGAAAGCTCCATTTCCAGTCATGCAACGGTAACATGCACACGCTGCATCAGTTCCCGGCTCTCCAGGGCTGCACCTCCGCTGGCTATTTCCCCTGTTCTGATTTCACAAGTGGGGCTCCAGGGCATTTGGAAGAGCACATTTCACAGTCGGAGCTAACGCCTCACTTGTGCACCAACTCTTTGCACCTAAATGTGGTCCCTCCGGTGTGTTTGAAGGGCTCCCTTTACTGCGAAGACTGTCTAAACAAGGTTCGTATCTTTTTATTTGGTATGTTGGGTGCAGCTGAGCTTTGAGGAGTGACTTTTGAGAAGTGACTATATCTTGAAAATCCTTGGTTGTGCATGGGGTTTTGAAGCTCCTTCCACGATGTAGCTTTCTCCCCGTCAGCATAACTGCTGGTGGCCTGAAAGAACCAAAGGGTAAAATGGGAGGGACCATTCAGAAAAGGACAGTGATTGTTACGTAGTTTATGCTTTTTGGGCCTCTTGCAATAAATCTGTTGCTTCCATGTGAACCTAGCTCGGCCAAGCCTCGTGTTCTGTTTTTGCTTCAAAGGCTAGAGCACAGTCGTGATTTCTTATAACTAACATACACTTTATACATGGACCCATTCATGTCATATAGCTAACTGCATGTTGTCCTTTTGTAATAATTTGAGGAACTTAAATCGTGGCCTCAGTCACACCTGTGTTTAAGTGAAGACTTTAAATCCCTTTATGTAAAGTATGTCTGAGGTCTCCATTGCAGCAGACACATGCCCCAGAATGTAAAGGTCCGATCATGTGGCTGTCTTTCCTGATCACTTCAAGTCATTTCTTGAAGTGAATTTATGAATCGATAACTAACAGTTCTGTGAAAGATGATTTGAAAAGACATTTTATCAGAGGTTAGCAGGTAGAAAAGAGAAACACTTAGAATGTGTTTTCAGTTGTATGTAATTCTAGATTCTGAAATGATGTATCTGAACTTCCTTTTTTAAAAAAAATTTTAAAACAGCCGGCAAGAAATAGTGTTATTGCTGCTGCTAAAGTCTGGCCAAATATACCACCTCCAAATACCCAGACCGCACCTGTTACTATTCCTCTGTGTAATGGCTGTGGAACCAAAGGAACGGGGACGGAGACCACGTTGTTACTGGCGACCGGTCTAGGGAAAGCTGCTGCAAAATTTGGTAAATGACAGTACAGTATAAAATGTGCATATTTGAAGTTTTCTATTCAGTAGTGTTCCGTCAGTTGAATATCTGATACGAACTGCACCTAATCACCTTTTAAAGATTTCTTATGGTTCTAAAGCTACTGTGTATGTGAGTCTCTACTTCCATCTCTTGGTAAAAATCCTTTTATTTTTACAGACAACTCATTTGCCCTTTCTGTTGGGCTGAGGCTATTTGAGATCCGAAGCTGTGTATAAAAAATGGGAGTATATTAGGAGAAATAGTGCCAGGTGGGACTTGGTGTCAACTTAGGGTGATAATCACACTCGTTAATCACATAATCACACTTGTGTACTCCCTAAAGGACTTAGTATCTAGAAAGATTTGGTAATGGCTAGTGAAAAATATTTGAAAACCTAAGATTATTTCCCTTAAAATAGTTAATGTGATATTTTCTTTTGAAAACATTTAAAAATTAAATCTGATGTTAACACAGTACTAAAATCATTTAAGATGATGGACAGTAAGAACTTTACCTTTCATTGCCTCTGTATTGCCCTAAAGGACTTAGTATCTAGAAAGATTTGGTAATGGCTAGTGAAAAATATTTGAAAACCTAAGATTATTTCCCTTAAAATAGTTAATGTGATATTTTCTTTTGAAAACATTTAAAAATTAAATCTGATGTTAACACAGTACTAAAATCATTTAAGATGATGGACAGTAAGAACTTTACCTTTCATTGCCTCTTTATTCTTACATACTGAGTAGGTAGACAAGCATGGGTGGAGCGTGAAAACCAGTTCCCAGAGCTACAGCATCCATTCACCTCTGTGCTAGTGTTCAGAGACGCACAGCTGATCAGCATGAGGGTGGCTCATGCTTTGCGATGGATGTATTGTGAGCTTAAAGTAACCTGACCTTTAGGTTTGTTCTCTCCTAAAAAAGATAGAACTATTTACTGGAGAGACTGTGGCAACTTGGGGGTTGTTATTAGGTCAGCCAGTGAGGTTGATATTCTTAAAATCCATCAACAGTTTCATTTTTCTGCCACTAAGAATGATAGGTAGCTACCTATTTTATTTTTATTTGCCATGTCTTTTTCACTATGCCTGATCGAAAGTGTTAACATTCCTTAAGGGTCACCGGAAGTCGCGCTAGCTGGACAGGTGCTAGAAAACTTACCCCCCATTGGAGTTTTTTGGGATATTGAAAACTGCTCAGTTCCTTCAGGCCGCTCAGCGACTGCTGTTGTACAGAGGATCCGTGAGAAGTTTTTCAAAGGCCACAGGGAAGCAGAATTCATCTGTGTGTGTGACATCAGTAAAGAAAACAAAGAAGTTATTCAAGAGCTCAATAATTGTCAGGTAAAAAAAAAGAATTTTAACCTATTATGATAGAATAAGCTGTGATTTTTTTTTAAAACATAATTTCAATTAAAAATTTGTTTAACAATATGCATTTGTGCTGTTTGCAAATAAAGGAAATTAGCAAAAGATTATTTCTAAAGCACAGTAAATTCACAGTGCCATCAACAGATTCTGCCACTTTAAGTGAAATGATATATAATGAAAGCCGTTTTATCATAGGCTAATTGATATAAACAAGTTAGGTTCCTCTGAATGAAATGACATTATTCGAGGCCTGCTGTACTAAGAACCATTTAATTTTGTCTGATTTTTAATAACGATGCTTATTTGTGATAGTACCAATCCCATATAATAATTACATATGTATCATTTCCTTTGATTTTCAAGGCTCAGAGGATTTATTATTTGAAATTTATAAATGAAACAGGCCCCCCAAGTGGTTAAGCAATTTTTTTAAGATCACATGTCCAGTAAGTGAATGAGCTAAGATTTAAATCCAGATTTACCCCAAAATCTGTTCTCTTAAACTGGAAATAGGATTTAGTTCTTTTGACTCTTAGTTTCATTGATATGTCATATTGCTGCCTAAAATTATGTTTATATTCTTTATAGAACCTAATAAATTCTGTTGTGTATTGTATGCACCTCTCAAAACCAACCTTTTCTTACATGTGAACCTGATAGTTTTAACAGGAATAAACATGTTAGCTCCCTAAGGTGCAGATGCCTCTCCTCTCCCACCACCTAACCCCAGATCCTGAAGGCACAGACGGTGTATATAGCACAGACAAAGAACATCAAGTACAGCCCCAAATCTTATCTTAATCATGTATCAGATATCTGCCACTCCCAAATTGTTGTCAAAAGCTACTCATGAGAGCTCATTTAACTATAAATTTCACTTCCTTTTCTCTGCATATTTTCTGAAAGGGGGTGGATGAAGCAAAAGGAGAAAGAGATGAAAGCTGGGATAATAATGGAACCAATTAATTCATATGGAGAACCAAATTTGAAATTATGGAAATGTGGTTGTAATTTTTTTTCCGTTCCTAAGTTGCAATCATAATAGTTTCTTCCCTCAAGGACAGTTTATTAAGATGTGAGCAGAATGTGTAGTGATTTTCTCACTCAGCCTTTGCTCATTTGTCTTTATCATAAATTAATGCAGGTAACTGTTGCCCACATCAATGCTACTGCAAAGAATGCTGCTGATGATAAACTCCGCCAGAGTCTCCGAAGGTTTGCAAATACGCACACTGCTCCAGCCACTGTGGTTCTTGTGTCAAGTAAGTATGAAAACCTGTGCTCGTTTCACCTAGACTCACAGTGGGAATTATTATAGAAGCCAAAAGATGTTAAAGTAAAACGTAGGTTTGTGCTCTCCTAAAAAAGATAGAACTATTTACTGGAGAGACTGTGGCAACTTGGGGGTTGTTATTAGGTCAGCCAGTGAGGTTGATATTCTTAAAATCCATCAACAGTTTCATTTTTCTGCCACTAAGAATGATAGGTAGCTACCTATTTTATTTTTATTTGCCATGTCTTTTTCACTATGCCTGATCGAAAGTGTTAACATTCCTTAAGGGTCACCGGAAGTCGCGCTAGCTGGACAGGTGCTAGAAAACTTACCCCCCATTGGAGTTTTTTGGGATATTGAAAACTGCTCAGTTCCTTCAGGCCGCTCAGCGACTGCTGTTGTACAGAGGATCCGTGAGAAGTTTTTCAAAGGCCACAGGGAAGCAGAATTCATCTGTGTGTGTGACATCAGTAAAGAAAACAAAGAAGTTATTCAAGAGCTCAATAATTGTCAGGTAAAAAAAAAAGAATTTTAACCTATTATGATAGAATAAGCACCTGTGATTTTTTAAAACATAATTTCAATTAAAAATTTGTTTAACAATATGCATTTGTGCTGTTTGCAAATAAAGGAAATTAGCAAAAGATTATTTCTAAAGCACAGTAAATTCAGTGCCATCAACAGATTCTGCCACTTTAAGTGCAATGATATATAATGAAAGCCGTTTTATCATAGGCTAATTGATATAAACAAGTTAGGTTCCTCTGAATGAAATGACATTATTCAAGGCCTGCTGTACTAAGAACCATTTAATTTTGTCTAATTTTTAATAATGATGCTTATTTGTGATAGTACCAATCCCATATAATAATTACATATGTATCATTTCCTTTGATTTTCAAGGCTCAGAGGATTTATTATTTGAAATTTATAAATGAAACAGGCCCCCCAAGTGGTTAAGCAATTTTTTTAAGATCACATGTCCAGTAAGTGAATGAGCTAAGATTTAAATCCAGATTTACCCCAAAATCTGTTCTCTTAAACTGGAAATAGGATTTAGTTCTTTTGACTCTTAGTTTCATTGATATGTCATATTGCTGCCTAAAATTATGTTTATATTCTTTATAGAACCTAATAAATTCTGTTGTGTATTGTATGCACCTCTCAAAACCAACCTTTTCTTACATGTGAACCTGATAGTTTTAACAGGAATAAACATGTTAGCTCCCTAAGGTGCAGATGCCTCTCCTCTCCCACCACCTAACCCCAGATCCTGAAGGCACAGACGGTGTATATAGCACAGACAAAGAACATCAAGTACAGCCCCAAATCTTATCTTAATCATGTATCAGATATCTGCCACTCCCAAATTGTTGTCAAAAGCTACTCATGAGAGCTCATTTAACTATAAATTTCACTTCCTTTTCTCTGCATATTTTCTGAAAGGGGGTGGATGAAGCAAAAGGAGAAAGAGATGAAAGCTGGGATAATAATGGAACCAATTAATTCATATGGAGAACCAAATTTGAAATTATGGAAATGTGGTTGTAATTTTTTTTCCGTTCCTAAGTTGCAATCATAATAGTTTCTTCCCTCAAGGACAGTTTATTAAGATGTGAGCAGAATGTGTAGTGATTTTCTCACTCAGCCTTTGCTCATTTGTCTTTATCATAAATTAATGCAGGTAACTGTTGCCCACATCAATGCTACTGCAAAGAATGCTGCTGATGATAAACTCCGCCAGAGTCTCCGAAGGTTTGCAAATACGCACACTGCTCCAGCCACTGTGGTTCTTGTGTCAAGTAAGTATGAAAACCTGTGCTCGTTTCACCTAGACTCACAGTGGGAATTATTATAGAAGCCAAAAGATGTTAAAGTAAAACGTCCCCAAAGAGGCTGAAATACATAGGACATACTTATGCTCATTTTTGAGAACTGTTTTAGAAAAACAATCGTGTCTACCAAATTACAACCACATTTCCATGGATTTCTGTATTTCCTCCTTGGAACTTGAGTAAGGATTTTTGTGGGGCCAAGTTTATTAAAGAAAATATAATTTTTTAAAACCCTGGGCACAATGTTGCTAATTTTAAAAATCTAAGATGAGTAATTTCCAAAATTGACACTCCCCAAGATATTAATATTTGCTCCCTGTCAGAACTGGAAGTAACATGTGTCTTGGGATTCAGTATAAGCATGTGGTGAAATTGTCTTACTGTGTTAATTCCTCTGATAACGAAATGTGCTCCTGTTCTAAAAAGGGAGAGGGAGCGACTTTGAATACAGTCCAGCCATTCCTTCTCAGTAGGTGTCAGTAGAGTTGTCTGTCTCTGTCAAGTGTTTCTAATGTTTGGGGATGGGGTTGGGCTGTACCTTTTCTTTCAGCTGATGTCAATTTTGCATTGGAACTTAGTGACCTGAGACACAGGCATGGTTTCCATATAATTTTGGTCCATAAAAACCAGGCCTCAGAAGCACTACTGCATCATGCTAACGAACTGATCAGATTTGAAGAATTCATTTCCGACTTGCCCCCCAGGTTACCACTAAAAATGCCAGTAAGTGGGTTTGCATTCTTTTTGCTGTGTTCCAGCGTTAGATTAGGGAGGCTGAACACAGCCCTTAACAAGGGGGTCTCCAAGCCCAGGGGAGGCTGTTCTTTGTAGGAGGCTGACCAGATTTTGAAATAAGATTTAGAAACCTTCAGTCTTCCCTTAAAATATCCAGAGACTTGATGTATGAATGTTGCTTTTCTTTTTCAAAATCTCATAGGGAATCGACTTTTAGATTTACCTTACCAGCAGCCACTTGCCAGTGTCTCCAAAGCTAGCAATGTTTTGTGTCAGACGGATAGAAGTAACGGAATAAGAGTCGTTGCTCCTTTTGCTACCACGTATTGTGGGTAAAGAATATGGTGATGTTTTGTACCTACTGCTGTGGTTGGAGTCAAACAGAGTAATCGTACAGTTTTTAGGCATTTAATCTCTAAGCTCCAGCAGGCCTGTGAGCCTGTTTTCTACGGTAACATGCCTTGTCATGCACGTGCACAATTAGGAGTGGTTATTGCTACACTTGTGGCCTGTTAAGGCACGCGATAGGAAAATATGAGCATGTTTACATCAGGATGAGCATCTCTGATAGTCTTAATTTGGGATAAGAAGGTTTACTGCAATGCTGAGCTGTGCTTATGCTGTTTGGAGAATATTTGCATAACTCTTGAATAGTAATAATGGACAGGAGCTGTAGTGTGGATGAAACAGAGGTGCGGGCCATCCTGTATATTAAATGCAGTTTTAACATAATTAAATAACTTTAGAATTAACAGAAGCACCTTAGAGAAATTATCTCACCCAATGTCCTCATTACAGGGAGGAGGAAATCAGCACATAGGAAAAGAAAGCAGTTCGTTGGTGGTCAGACATGCTGATCACAGCAGAGCAAAGACTGGACCCCAAGCCCCCTGATCCAAGCTCTTAGGCTGCTAGTCCCCCTGCATTCCCTAACACCCCAAATGAGCCAAGATTAATCACGTGCTGAGGAGACCCGCAGTTGGGGATACCAGAGTCAGGCCCACGGAGTAACACACAGGCCCTCCGTCAGCCTTTGGAGCCGCCCTCCTAACTCATTTTGCTGTTAATCATTATGTTTTGGTCTTTTGGCTATAGCTGGGTTTTCTCCCTCTGCTTCTGTGTGTCATTCACTTTTCTAAGGTAGAAGACCTTTAAGTCAAATGTAGTATTTAGGTGAAAGATCCTTATTCCTTATGGTTAAAAAAAAAAAGAAAAAAAAAGACGTTATTCATAACGTTGAATCTTGCCAATCTCATTCACTAGAGCGATAACTCAGGTACATTTCTCTTTTTCTGTGTTTTTCGGTAAATAAGTTCACCTTCTCCCGACTGGATCATTATTACCTCCCCTCCCAGGTAGCTAGCTTGTTCGGAGATCACTCACTGTTCTTTTCTTGTAATTAATTGAGTGCGTGCTCTCGAGTTAACCTGTGGTAACATTTCTCTTCTGTATCAGCAGTGCCACACTCTGCTCTATGTTTATAACCTCCCAGCGAATAAAGATGGCAAGAGCATCAGCAACAGGCTCAGACGCCTGTCGGATAACTGTGGTGGGAAAGTGCTGAGCATCACAGGTTGCAGTGCCGTCCTCCGCTTCATAAACCAGGACAGTGCAGAACGGGCTCAGAAGCGAATGGAAAATGAAGATGTCTTTGGGAACAGGATCATTGTGTCCTTTACTCCAAAAAATAGAGAACTCTGTGAAACAAAAGCTTCAAATGCAATTACTGATAAAGCGAAGTCTCCCAAAAAACTTAAGAATCCAAAATTGTGCCTCATCAGAGATGCAAGTGAACAACCTTCCAGTGCCAAAGCCATGCCTGGAAAAGGGTCGCAGGCGCATTCTGGATCTGCTACAAAAAACACAAATGTGAAAAGTTTACAGGTACTTTTGATACTTCTTGCTTTCCCAAGTTTCTGGCAGGCTTGGTTTCTTTGTCCCTGTATTTTAGATGCCTGCTTGCTTTGGTGTGCCCTCTCTTTATTTCCGTTTTCGATGATACCCAAAGGCAAGGGGTTTCTGTATGAGGTCTAACACACCTCGGGTACTTAGAGTTTAAACTCCACTGCACTTGTCTCTTTTAAGGAGCTGTGCCGCATGGAGTCGAAGACTGGCACTAGAAGCTGTGAGCCCCCGCAGGCCAACCTGAGACTGGTGGCCCCTCCGCACAGAAACCCGGGTGCTGTGGCGCCCACACCGAAAAACTCCGGGATGGCAGACTCCATTTACAGAACCAATCCTAAGTAGGTTGAGTTGCTCTTTCTCGTAGTTGCTTTTCCAAGTGAAGGAAAATAAATGACCTTTTCCCTTTGATTTTCCCTCCATTAGAAAAGAGAACCTCAGTGCCCAAAGTGTTACCAGTTCTCCTGTGGAGAAAAAAGACAAAGAGGAGACTTTGTTCCAAGTGAGTTACCCATCTGCTTTCAGCAAGTTGATTGCAGCAAGGCAGGTCGGGCCTCTGCTCGCGTCTCCGCCTTGGTCTCGGTGAGTCCAGCTCTGTGATCCGCGGGTGCTTACGTGCACTGGAAAGGATGACGTGCACACGTAAAAGAATTGAAGCTATACAGAAGCGCGTAAAGTAAAAGAGAAGTCCTTCATCCCTTCCCTGCCAGCCCCCCTTTCCTCAGGTGATCTCAGCTAACACTGGGGCCAGTGCTTTCCACCATCTCTCCCTCCTTCACGTGGCCATTCGTCAGCAGAGGGCAGAGAGAGAAGCTTGTCCTGTGGGTCCTGGCCAACAGTGGGAGGCACATTAAGATGTCCTCATCACTTTCTTCCCTTCGTCATGTTGAGGGAAAGGCCCAAACTAGATAAGCAATGGTTATTCCTATGTGTAGGATAATTATAGGAAGCCATTTGAGAAGTGCAGTCCTCTGTGCACCTTTGTAACGATACTCACCTTATCTAAGCTTTCCAAACCCACGGAGTAATTCTGGAGGCTTGCAAGACAGAAGGAGCCATAAGGCCGTGTTGCATCCCATGAGCTCCTTCTAGCATTGCATGTGATCTGCTGAGCTGATGTAGACTCACTGTAGAAAGTGACTTTGGACCTGTAAAATTACATTTAAAACTTCACACAAAACTTTGCCTTATATGGAGAAGGACTGCAACATACGAGGAAGAATAGCTTTTTGAAAGCCAAGGGAGGTTACATGACTTACGTTAGTATCACAAGCGAATTTCCTAAGAATAAATGCCCAAAGTGGAAAATTAGTTCATCACATCTGCCCGTAATTTCTACCTTTAGCTTGAAATAATCCGGTGAAAGAATACTTGATATTAAATAATTTACTGGTTATTTTTACAATATCAGCAGATAGTACTTTTAATAATAAGTCTAAATCAGTGTATGCCTAATGTAAATACATTTGAAAACCAAATTGTGTTGTGGCAAGCTGTGTCTATGTATAGCTTCAAACAAAGCCTAAATGATATAGAATAACATTTAAAAATTATCTCAGTATGTACGTTTTAAGCATTAGTGTGTCTCTAAACCTTTTAAACAGAGCATCTCCACTTGCTTTCAACGTTGCAAATTCAAGCATTGGTGCCAACTGCTCAGACACATTTGCAAATGGTGCTGACATCCAGATCAGCAACATAGACTACAGATTATCCCGGAAGGAGCTGCAGCAGCTCATGCAGGAAGCATTTTCCAGACACGGCAAGGTACCCTTTTCACTCTTGTTCTTGCCTTTGTTTCACTCTTTGCTGGCATTTCACTTTGAGAAAACTCGATTTCACACATATCCACAGAGGATGTACGTGTTACTGACCGAGTCTGAACTCCTTCCTTCATCCTTTGATCTGCTCGTGGTGGTGCCGTGCATCCAGTGTTTAGGACACAGCCCCGGAGAGCAAGAAACCTAGCAGAGAAGCACTTGTGGTCTCAGGCTAGGGTTTAAATGATACTTTGGGAAATAAAATACTGACAGGTTTTAGTTAGCTCTGGCTGCTAAAATCTGGAAATAGAGTTATAAAATAATGTCGGCTGTTTTTGTTAGCATCTTACTATATATGTGATTCAGTTTTTAGGTGCAGTTTGCTACAAATGCACCTTTTCCAGATTCGTAAAACAGTTATGCCCCAAGTTTTCACGGGTCTGGAGAAGACCCCAGAGACCCTGTCCATGTCTCGGCCTCTGAGCTTGCGTCAGAGAGCCAAGTGTTCAGAACACACAAGCGGGCCAGGCTGGTGGCACGGCCCTGAAGGTCACCCAGGTCACTTAGGTCTGATTGGCAGAAGTGCAGAGTTCAGACAGGTCCCCTCACTTCGCTGAAGTCCACAGATATGTCCCTTAATGACTCACCTTTAGTCTTGAGGTGACAAGGTTCTGGTAGACTCGCATTCTGTTTTCCTTTTCACTGCTGTAGGTGAAGAGTGTTGAGCTCAGCCCCCATACAGATTATCAGCTCAAGGCTGTTGTTCAGATGGAAAACTTACAGGAAGCCATCAGTGCGGTGAATAGCCTCCACAGATACAAAATTGGCAGCAAGAAGATCCTGGTCTCACTTGCCACAGGAGCTGCTAATAAATCACTCTCTTTACTGAGGTAAAAAAAAAAAAAAAAAAAAGCAAACAAGCCAGTTATTTCAGGACTTGAAGCAATTTTGTAAATAATAAAAATAGGTTTTGTCATGTTCCCAACCATTTTGTGGTGATTATGTATGCAATAATGCTTATTATGAATTGATAGAGTTGAAAGTAAGCTAGTAGTTAGAAATAATAAGTTAGAAATAAGCTAGGTAGAATAATTTGACTCTTGGTCCAGGCATTAATCACAGGTAAAGTACAGCTTAAACTTGGCAGGCACTTAGGAGTGAAATAATATTCCACATATTCAGAACAGCTTCTAAAAATAGTAGACCTCGACAAGAAAAGTTTATAAGCCTGGAGATTCTGAAATATTACCTTCACATCTTAGTAGACAGTAGATTGGTCCATAAAGGGTAGATCTGCAAAGAGCCACGCTCTCAACTTGCAGATACTGTCACGATGTCAAATAGACACCAGCCCCAGAAGTCTCGTTACAACTCTGTCAATCTCGGGAATCTGGTGATGGTTTTATTCAGAATCAGCTTTGGTTCTTCTTTGGCTCTCTCTGCTTTGCAGGGAGCTAGTGACACAAGACTCACTTCTGAGTACCCTCAACTACAGGACTCCCACTCTCTCCTCTCACAGACGAACCGCAGTGCGACAGGAGCCATTCGCGCTCTTCTGCCTTTTGCTCTGAATTAACACGGCGTTTGTCTCACTGCGTGGTATACGGGTGTAGAAAGCCCTGTGCTGCACCAAGGGAAAATACCAGTGTATGACTTAAAAATTGGCTCTAATCACCCTGTCCCTAAGGTCTTTTCTTTCAATTTTTTTGGAAAATAAATTCTAACATGTCAGAAACTGGTAAATTTATTTTGCATGTACATTGTGTTAATCAATTTTATGTACTCTTTTTAAACGAAAACTTGGGAATTGCCTGTTGATTTCCAACAGTATTTGTTCTCTAATTGATTAAAATTTTGTCTTACAGTGCAGAAACAATATCTGTTCTTCAGGATGCTCCCGCCTGTTGTCTGCCTCTTTTTAAATTTACAGATATCTATGAAAAGAAGTAAGTTAGGTTTCTTTTTTCATTGATCCAGTCAATGCTAATTGGTAACTTCCAGAATGTTGATTGGTGATTGGCATAAAACTGTTGTAGCAGCTCTTAAGGAGCTTCCAGCCTGGTGGAGGAATGAGACAAAGACAGTTGCGTTAGAATTAAATTTCTATTTTAACATATACTTTAAAACTTCTTTCATTTTTAGCAAATTTAGGCCTTGGTCCCCAAAGCTGTACTTTAATTTTTTTTCTAATTGACCGATTAGTTTTGTTATATATTGAGTGACACTTTTGGAGCACCTTCTAGACTGTAAGCTCCAGGATGACAAGGACTGAGTCTGACCTAACACAGCACGTGGTAGGAGCTCAGGTAGGGTCAGTGGAATGAGAGTCTGAGGCTCTGTGCACAGTGCAGAGCTGGGGAGACTCCTTGCGCTCAAGGAAGTGCCAAGCATCCCTGGTTCGATAGTGAAAGAATTCATAGTAAAATTACTCCGGTTTTACCTTTGAAGAAACAGAGGCGCCATTCTTGGTTGTAGCCTTTTACTAAACAGGACAGGAATTTCTGTGTAATCAAAGAAAAATGTTCTAAGTCAGCATCTCTTTTTCCTTGCTTTTAGGTTTGGACACAAGTTAAATGTTTCAGATTTATATAAATTAACAGACACGGTTGCAATCCGTGAACACGGAAATGGAAGGCTGGTGTGTCTCTTACCCAGCAGTCAGGCCCGACAGAGCCCCCTGGGGTCTTCCCAGTCACATGACGGCTCCTCAACGAATTGCAGCCCAATTATATTTGAAGAGTTAGAATATCACGAGCCTGTCTGCAGACAGCATTGTTCCAATAAAGACTTCAGGTACAATGCCTGTTTCCCTTTAGAAATACCCCTTTTGGATAAGGGCAGGGAATGTCTGTTAGAATGCCTGTTGTGGACCACCAGGAGATGTCGGGTAACTGTGGCCTTCTCTTTTCTGCAGCGAACATGAATTTGATCCGGACTGTTACAAGATTCCTTTTGTGATTCTCTCTTTGAAGACGTTTGCGCCCCAGGTTCATAGTCTTCTGCAGACACATGAGGGCACTGTGCCGTTGTTAAGGTGAGCACGTCAGAACCATTGCAATGTGATTCCTTGCTTCTCTTTGTAGAAAGTCTGCCCTCGCTGTCCACACCTCTTCCCAAGCAAGTATCACAGACTACTTCAGCCTAACATCTTTAGCCTTGCAGTCAGTTAAACTATGTCTGAATTGGATCCATTCACTCAGTGTTTCAACAAGAAAATTTTTGTTGGTGTTAAATTTTAGAAACAAAACCATAAATAGGATAGTTTCTTCTCCACAGAGAAGAAATTATTATAAGTGCTATCACAAAAGGTTGCACAAGTGTTATGAGAGTATACACAACCTCAAATAGCTGTAGATTTCAAAATTTGAGAGAGAAAACTGTTCTTCAGAAGTCTTCAATCACACCGTGTGCCATCTGGTAGACAATGTGGGGTCTAACGCAGGACTAAGTTGCCTTAAGGCCTACGATACTTCAGAGCAGATGAATAACGCACTTGGAATCCAGTTGCTTTTTTTAAACTCCCTCTGCTAGAAAATTGTCCAGGAATTTCTAGTACCATCAGAATGCATCAAAGAGGTAAATTCCACAGTGATTGACTCCCTGGGACCTTAATTTTAACTCCAAACCCAGATTGTGAGCATTTAAACAAATTATTTATTAATAGATACATTAAAATAAAGCCTTCTGTTTAGCGGATACTTTGCTTTTCCATTATTTTAATTAACTTCTTTTTTTTTTTTTTTTCACTTCAGCTTTCCAGATTGTTATGCCGCAGAGTTTGGTGAACTAGAAGTGGTGCAGGAAAACCGAGGGGGTGTTCCCTTAGAACACCTCATCACCTGCGTTCCAGGTGTCAACATCGCCACTGCACAGAACGGCATCAAAGTAGTTAAATGGATTCACAACAAGCCCCCACCTCCAAACACAGGTAGGTGTCAGGCGTTTGGTCGCCCTGAGCCATCATCTAAGGCGTGTGAGAGGCGGCGTTTGGCTTTTATCCTAAAGCGCACACTGTTGGCCGAGCGGAACGCACCGTGAGCGTCTCCTCTGATCCTCTCAAAACTGCTCTCTGAAGTCATGTAAGAAAGTCCAGACCCAGTTCCTCAGTTACACATCGCTCTACCTAATCCTTTGAGGCTTTTTGATTTGCCGGTTGATTTGCCTTTAAAAATAGTTTCAAGTATGTGAAGGAAATATCTCTGAATGCAGGTTTACCTTTGAAATGCATTTTGGTCAATAATTATGACTTTGATATAGTCAAAGCAGATTTAACTATAAAGGACCAGGACATTTGAACGTAGATGTGGGTGAGTTTCTGAATCCTGGGCATCTCCTGAGGTGCGAATGTCTAATCCTGGTACCTGTGAACAGCACTTGACACTGTTGCCTTCATACTTTCACTTTCTCCTTTTTGGCCCCCCAGCACTTCCTCCTTTTTTTCCCCCAACTCTCTGCTCTACAGGAAGAAAGATGTGGATAACCAGGGAGCTCTGTTCGTACCAAAGCTTCTTACCCACCTCCTCCTGCCCTTCCTCTCAGTCCTGGACCACTCTGGGTCCCGTATGTTACTAAAACTTAATTATGTGAACATTCAGGATAAATGCAAAAACCAGTTTCTTCATTTTATATCATACTAGTTTTACACTATTGCTATCCATGGCGTTCCGGGCAGTGTTTTCAGCTGCCCTGTGGGTTAGTTAGGCTCCTCTGGGCTACCGGCTTGATGACCATTTATAACTTTGTTCCTGTGGGAATGTATGTTCCACGTGGCCAAACTACAAATGGATCTTTGAAATACAACCAGTTTATAAACTGGAAACTTCCTGTGTATTGTTTCTTCTGCTACAAGTTAACACTATGGTGAACGATGCTTTACGTTGGCTACTTGACTCTGAGAAGTAGTGAGAAAGCATTTGCCAGCCCATAAATAAGTTGGGCTAGCCTGTTAATTATGTGGTACCTGAGTATAAAGGTGAGAATTAGTGGTTTGGTGTCATCTGCTTGGTCACGATTGAGCACAAGTCCGGGAGGGCAAGATTAGTTACCTTTCTTTCAGCTGCTGACATCATGCTTTGTGTCTTATGCTTGTTCTTTTTCTCTCCCCACTATCTAGACCCTTGGCTTCTGCGTTCCAAAAGTCCTGTGGGTAACCCCCAGCTGATCCAGTTCAGTAGAGAAGTGATCGACTTACTGAAGAGCCAGCCATCCTGTGTCATACCGATCAGTAATTTCATCCCGTCCTATCACCATCATTTTGCAAAGCAGTGCCGGGTCTCAGACTATGGATATTCCAAGCTGATTGAATTATTGGAAGCAGTGCCTCATGTGCTGCAGGTGAGAGTGCTAAGGAATTACTGTTTAAAGATGCGCACACTCCTCCGTGGCTTTGGCCACCTCAGCCACATAAACAGCAACTTAATTAATTCCCAGGAAGTCAGTTCAGAACAAAACATCCTGTACGAGCTTTCTCTGGTGTGTGGAAAACATATACAGGGTGGCTTCTTAATTTTTCAGAAAGCTGCAAGCTTCTAACTTAAAGCAATTCCTTAGAGCAGCAGTCCCCAACCTATCTGGCACCAGGGACCGGTGCTTCTATGAGCATCTAATGCCTGACGATCTGAGTAGGAGCTGAGGCGGTGACGCTAGTGCTGGGGAGCGGCTGCAGATACTGATGAAGCTTCGCTCCTTGGCCCGCTGCTCACTTACTGCTGTGTGGCTTGGTTCCAGCCCATAGACGGGGGTTGGGGACCCCTGCCTTAGGGCACTCAGGGGCATTTTCCTTCTAATCTCTACAGACTGACTCTCCTCCTAGCACAGCTCTCTCCAGAATCGTTCGCTATTGCATGGGAACTGCCGTGGACGTGGGCGCACCTTATAAATGAGTCGAAGACCAGTTACTGGGCTGGAGCATAGCATTGGTTCCTGAGAAGTCTTTGCCTATTAATTTACACTGTTACAATAGCTTCCCATTTGTAAAAATCGCCTGTAAGATTTCAGCTGTCTTTTAGAGACAAAATTATTCATCCAAACTGATAACATGCTTTTCATTTCTGTACTCAGGACTATTTGGGAAGGATATGTAGGGCCAAAAAAAAAAAAAGGCCCCAGGCGCCTGAGCAGTTGTTCGTTTTGATCTTTTACAGTTCTCTGAGGCAGTAACAGGAGAGAGAAGAGCCAGCAACAAGTCAGTATCTGCCAAGGTCTTACGAGTATAAATAATAATGCAAGTGTTTGATTTGCAGATTCTCGGAATGGGCTCCAAACGTCTGTTGACCCTTACACACAGGGCCCAGGTGAAGCGCTTTACTCAGGATTTACTCAAACTCCTCAAGTCCCAGGCCAGCAAACAGGTCATTGTGAGAGAATTCTCACAGGCATATCACTGGTGAGTTGATACGAAGAAGAAAAAAAAAAATGAAAGCAAATATTTTAAAACACTTTTTCTTTCTCCAAATTTTAAGTAATTATCTCACTTTTTTATGTAGCCTTCTTTTGGAAAACTTATAAAAGTTATTTTGGTGAGTGATAATTCGCTTTACCCATTTCCATGGTTTAAATCTAGGTGTTTCTCAAAGGACTGGGAAGTCACCGAATATGGGGTTTGTGAGTTGATTGATATCATATCAGAGATTCCAGACACAACTATTTGCCTGTCCCAACAAGATAACGAAATGGTGATCTGTATCCCCAAAAGAGGTAAGTTGAATGAAATTTGCTGGAAAAATGTGGTCCATCTCTGGCAATTTTGACATGGAATCATACAAGGGATGCATTTTCCTCCTCCTCCTCTGTGATCCCTAAAGATGCCATGGCAAGTGCAGTGTGAAAGCTCTGCTATACAGCGGGTCTTGGGTTCTTCAGAGTAGGTGGAGCCCCCTGCTGAGAAGAAAAGGAGGCTAGTTTTAGAACTCACTCTAAATGCCTCTTCAGCCTCTCTGGCTGTTTACCCCGTGATTATCCATTTGAGAGTCAGAGACCATGGCTGTTGTTTGTCTCTAATTCCGAGTTGCTCTACTATGCACACTTGAGAAGGAAAGAAAAGTCAAATCAGTATTTTGAAGTTTAAGCTTTTTCTCCTCTATATTTTTGATGCCTGATGCTCTTTTCTGCTAGCAATCTTAACTGAAGATCAGATGAATAAAAAGCATGTGAATATTCAGAAGTGTGATTTCATAGAAAAAATGTCTAGATTATTTTTTCAAGTATGGAGACCTATATGTGTGTCATGTTCATGTGTGGGGTGAAGGTGGGAGACGGGGGAGCAGGGGCTAGAGAAATTATTTCCAGCTTATAAAATGAGGTCTCATCGGTACGTACGTGTATTCATTGTATACCCTGATAGTATCATGACTTCCTCGTGCTCTGCCCTTGAGCGAGTTTGAGCCACCTACAAAGAGAAAAGAGGAGATGAGTGTGCTCGTTTTAGGTTGTGTCGTTTGGAAGACAAAGGTGCTATCTTTTGTCATCCGTGCATAGGAGTAATATTAAATGCAAATGAGTAGAAAAAGATTGTGGTTTTTTTGTTTTTTTGTTTTTTTAAAGAACGTACTCAGGATGAAATAGAAAGGACAAAACAGTTCTCGCGGGATGTTGTTGATTTGCTGAGGCACCAGCCCCATTTCCGGATGCCCTTTAATAAGTTTATCCCCTCGTACCATCACCACTTTGGCCGGCAGTGCAAACTCGCGTACTACGGGTTTACAAAACTACTTGAACTTTTTGAAGCCATACCGGATATTCTACAAGTAAGTGAAGAAATTCTATTTTTCTGGTCAATATAAGGGGAAATTTTTTCCCCCTGAGAAGTAGGGAGTTAGGAAATGGGATGAAAATTTGAAATATTTCTATCAGAGAAGTGTTGTTGGCTCATTAGTATTTTTAGGTCAATGTAATTTTTTTCCTTCAATAAAGAAATAAATCATTCTTCAAACTTGTTTTATGATAATTATTTTGAAAAGGACAAAATACTTTTATTTTTAAGCCGAGTATTCTTTCGTTAGCTCCATACTTTTCAGATCTCTCATATCGGAGGTAGGGATGAACATACAAATGCCTAGCTGTTAGGTCGTTGCTAATGTAAACCAGCTTTCTGTTGTTGATTTTTATAACTGTTACCATTTTTGACTCTTAAAGTGCTTTTGAGAGTTTAAGAAAACGTTTGTGGTAAGACACACGTTACCTACTTAACCATTTTTAAGCGTGAAGTTTAGTAGTGTTAAATGTGATCTCATTGTTGTGCAACCAATTTCCAGAACTTTCTAATCTTTCAGAACTGAGACTCTGTACATTAAAGAACACGAAAGTGCTTTTTTTTCCTGTTGATTGTACCCATTTTCATGCCATTTAGTTCCATGAACAGTCGTAACATTTTCAATCTTCTTTTCCTCCTCTTGCGTGTTTTCCAAGGTATTGGAATGTGGAGAAGAAAAAATCCTCACCTTGACAGAGGTGGAACGATTCAAAGCTCTAGCCGCCCAGTTTGTTAAACTGCTTCGGTCCCAAAAAGATAACTGCCTCATGATGACAGATCTGCTCACAGAATACACTAAAACTTTTGGTTACACTTTTCGTCTCCAAGACTATGATGTCAGTTCAGTTTCAGCTTTAACACAGAAACTCTGCCACGTTGTAAAGGTAAACGTGTGGCGGCGTGATCGTCATGGGGATGTTCGCGTGTATGTGTACGCATTTCTGTGTTTACACGTCATGCTTCCTACTGCTTCACAGGTTGCTTTGTGTGTCGTTACTACCTTATGAGGTAGTAGATGACCTGGGTTTGGTTGGCAGTTTAGATTTTTGCGCTTGCCTTCGTGTGTATGTGTGTGAGTGGCCTTGCTAAAGTGATGTCTTCTTGAACTGATGAGGTCATCGTTCTACCCCAGGTTGTTTATTCTCCATTGCATCAATCTCAGTACTGCTGACCTGAAGTTAGATCTTTCTAAACAGATCTTTGGCTCCAAAGTTTTGGGGAGACTGTAATCACAGGTCTCTTCTCCCTTCCAGATTCTGACTCACTTAAGGAGCAGGTCTAGGAGCAAGCTGGGGCTAAGAATTGCCTTCGTTGCTGGTAGTAACGCTGGGTGGAGAGGGTAACTCTGTCCGCTTCCCCGCCCTGGGCCGAGCTGACCCTCCCAGTTGTAGGCAGAGCAGCTGGACAGGTTTCAGGCTGTTGCCACCACAGGACCAAGAAGACTCTCTAAGGGAGGAAGGCATGCAAAGGAAAGCGCACAGCGTGGTGGCAGCCTGGGTCACAGGTCTGGAAGGAGTCTGCGTTCTGGTCGGTTAGAGGAGGTGAAACCTTCCCAGGAGACAGACAGGCTGCTGGAGAGTGGGAAGAGCACTAGGCATGGGGACCGTCCAAGGCCGAGGAGGAGGAATGGCCCGCAGCATCACACGCTGCTCAGGGCCAGTGAGACGAGGGCTCATGTGACCTCTGGACCTAGCTGAATGGAAGTACTCAGTGTTGCTGGCCAGGGCAGGGTCAACAGCAGAGAGACATGGGGACGAAGCCACGCCGAGTGGGTTGAGGAATGAGGAGGAGGAGGCAAGAAAATGGCAACAGGTAACCTAGACGGCTTTTCGGCTTGTTCACCTGGGAAGGAAGAGAGCAAGAGGGCAGAGAGGGCAGCAGTGGGAGCCCGCGGGCCTGAGAGAGCAGGTGGGGGTTTCGGTGGTGGTTTCTTGTTCCGGTCACAGAGACTGAGCATATTTGAGAGCTACTGAGAAGGACCTTGAGAGAGAAGATAGATAACAAAGATGAGTAGCGGTGTGGGGCGAGGGCCCCGAGGAGGCAGGAGCTGTGGGAGTTGGCATTCAGCAGAAGGAGGGACAGCTCAGGTGTCAACATGGTGACAAAAGGGAAGGGTAGGATGCATGGAGATTTAGGTAGGCTTGATGTTTGTTAGCACGAAAAGGAGGGAGTTACCTTCCAGAGCTATTTTTCTGTCGAGTAGAAGGTGAGAGTAGCTGCTTAATGGAGGAAGGGATTCAAGATGGACGTGTGGGGAGAATGTCTGCTCCAGGCTCCTGTTTGCATGCAGGATGCATGGGAGTTTTGAATGGGTTATTTTGGAAGTGGGCAATGACAAGATCCCAAGTATGACACTGGGCATAGAAGTCTGGAGTGGAATCAAGTAGAAAAGACATCACTGGAGATGAGAAGGTCGAGCCACTGAGAGGCCATGGTATGGGACAGGCCCCTTGGATGTGAGTCACGCAGCACAATGGCAGTGGTGGGCTTGGTGCAGGAAAGACTCTAAGCCGAGACTGGAGACTTTGATGAATAACGGTGAATGACTGGGGAGCAGTAGAGATGGGGAAAGATGGGAGAGGCTCCAGGGTGCTACCCTGGCTGCACACCGGAATCCCCCAGGGAGCTTCTGGGCAGGCCAATGCCCAGACTTCGCCCTGCCTCCAAGATTCTTCTGTAACGAGCTCAGCTCTGCTCTGAGCATCGGCATTTTCATAAGCCCCACGGGTGATTCTAATGTGCAGCCAGGTTGAGAATCAAGAGATATATCATGTAGCATCAGAGAAGCAGGTTTCTGCTTTTTGGCCTTAAAAGGCTAGAGGAGTAGTGACGGTCTGGGCATCTAAGAAGGTGACTCGAATTCTCCTGGACTTGGTACTTTTGGCTGACTGAACCCCAAGCCTGCAAAGGAAATGCGTAATCTAGCTGTCAACAGGTCCGTAGTCATGGTAAGTGAAGTGGGCCTCCCCAGCAGCCTTCTGCCTTGGCTCTAGGTGAGCATCAGAACCAAAGACACTGATGTTGGGATGGCTCCTCAAGTGCCACGCACCTCTCTCTGCCTCCAGGGTCCAAAGCCCGAAAGAGCACAGCTTGTGGTCAGCGCAGGCGCCGAGACCTGTGGTCCCAGGCTTGTCTCCAGTGCCTCAGCTGCGTGCACGCTGGAGTTCTGCCTGGGTTCATTTCCGTGCAGCCTCATTCACACTCACTCACCCCTGCCCGAGGCCCGTGGGTCTCAGTACCAGATGCTTGCTCCTTCACGTGTCCTTTGGTCCCCACACGGTAACCAGTGTCTTTTTCGCAAGGTTTCCCTTGCAGTGCACTTAAAAACTGAGACCCATTACGTCCTTGAGAATCTGAAAGAAAGGAGAAGTAGACACGTAGTCAGACATGAAAATACCAGCGTTTTGGCAAGTAACGATGGACTAGAAGAATGTGGCTCGCCTTGTAGTCAGAGTGGGCCTTCTCTCATCCCCCTAGCCTAGCCCCTGGGACACACAGGGTGAGTCGGGTCTGCAGAGCAGCCCTATGGAGTGTCTCCGGCGGCTAACTCCCCCTGCCACCCCCCCTCTCCAGCACGGCAACCCTTCATTCACAGGCTCAGACTAGTGGATGTCAGCTGGCCAGCCTTATCTCCTTCCCTCTCTGGCGAGTGGAGAGAAGGCCTAAGAGTGGGGGTGGCACGATGGACGTTACGGTTATGGACCAGCAGGAAAGGAGAGAATAATTTCTGCTCCGGTCTCACCCGAAGTGTGGGTCTGGTGTCACAAAGAAGCTGAAAGCAAACCCAACTCACTTCGCTTCAGTTTAAGACCAAGGATTAAGAGATTTTCCTCTGTGGGTCTCATTAGCCAAAATGAATCCAGCTAAGCAGGGTGTGACCCCAGTTGTCTCCTGAGTTCGGATAAGTCTGAATTCTTGTTTTCCCCAGGTTGCAGATATTGAATCTGGCAAACAGATCCAACTGGTCAACCGCAAGTCCCTACGCTCCCTCACTGCCCAGTTGCTGGTACTGCTGATGTCTTGGGAAGGAGCCACCTGCCTTTCTGTTGATGAGCTCAAGAGACACTATGAAACTACCCACGGCACTCCTCTCAACCCCCGCGAATACGGATTCCTGACTTTGACCGAACTTCTGAAGAGTCTGCCTTACTTAGTCGAGGTGCGAGTGCTAACGGTCCTTTAGAACCACTGCAGTGGAACTGTTGGGTATTTCCGCATTACCTAGTTGTCTAGATTAGAGGGTGTAGAGCTGGAAGGGACCAATCGGGAATTTTATAGTTGAACAAACCAAAGCATAGGGAGCTGCAGGCACCCTGTCAGATGAGTGACCAGCCAGAACGAAAGCCCTGGCCTCCTGATTCTTGAACTGGGGTACTTTTGTCCTACGTCAAGCTAGACTTTGCTGCTGCTATTACCTCTTTCTGAATTAGACGGATTTGGGGGTAGCTTCACATGACTTACCAGTCAGATGCAAGTCAGAAAGGAAGATTGACTGGTTACTCAAGTAACCTTTCAAGAATGGCACATTAAGATTAGAAGAATCATAAGAGAATACTACAGAAATAGATAAGGTCTTAGAAAAAAATTATCAAAATTGACTAGAGAAGGTAAAAATTAGATCAGTGACCACAAAAAGGAGCATTAAAGATCATTGAGATTTTACCACTGAAAAAGGCACCAGGACCAGATGAGTTAACAGTTGGGTTTTAACTAACCCTTAAAGAACAAATAACTCCCAACTTCTTAAAAACCAGTTTAGGTCACTTAAAAAAAAAAAAAAAAGATAGAAAGCTTGGTACTTCATTTTATGAAGCCAAAATTGCTTGAATACCAAAAACCCAATATAATCCCCTAAAGAAAATGGTTCTAAATAGGCTATTAACTAATAAACTCCAGCAATATATGGAAAGAATGACATATGTCATCGTTCCGTATAATTATGTGATTTGTAATTAAATAATTAAAAGATATTGAGACAAAAACTCTCTTGAGCTGCCTTCTAGGCTAGACCTCAACATTGGATGTTAGTGAGTAATAGATGTCTTAGGAACTTTCCACCCACCCTTGGCTGTAAGTCCCCATTAGTCTTTGTTGTTGACCCTTAAACAGTACAGTGGTCAGGGGTGCCACACCCCCACCACCACACACAGTTGAAAATCCATGTATAACTTTGATTTCCCAAAAACTTAGTTGTCCCTCGGTATCCACAGGGGATTGATTCCAGGACCCCCACAGATACCAAAATGTGCAGATGCTTAAGCCCCCTATGAAATGGCGTAGGACAACGGACAAGTGGCCTTCTGCATCTGTGGATGCAGATCAACCACAGATCAAAAACAGTGCAGGTATTTATTGAAAAAACCCGCATGTAATTGGACCCATGCAGTTTGAACCCTTGTTGTTAAGGGTTAACTGTATTCAGAATTGAGCTCAGTCTGTACTGAGGTTATTCCTTTTCCCCTATTGCTATAACCCCTGAATAAAAAACTTTTTACCTCTTTTAACTACTGTCTGGCTCTGGCTTTATTATGTGAACACTAGTTCTAGGCAGTGCAAACAGATGGTAAAGGCAAAGGGCTTTCCGTGGCCAGCTGAGGTGGGGACATACCCCTTCTCTTGCAGATTCTCAGGGCACATTAAAGACTGAAAAGGTTTATGCTTAATTTACTTGAGGATAAAAGAGCTTTGGGGTTTTTTCCTTATTGCTTTTGTTGGGCTTGTTTTTTTTAAAGAATGCTAATGTTGTCACCCTGCATCTCGCTGTTCTCTGGACACCACTGGGAGATGAGGTTCAGGGGTCCCAGTCCTTGGGTCCGATGCCACTTTCTCTACCTGGGGTTTGCTTCTCATCTTCCTGCCTATCTCGTGTTTGAACCCCAGGTTTGCCATTTTCCTTCTTTGTGGCACGCTTTCTCCAGACCTCTGCCCTCTTAGACTTGCAAATAGGATTCAGGTTTGCTCAGGGCTTCGGCTTTCTCTCGGAGGAGATCCTTGAATGAATCCCTCCTCCTCAGCTGATTGTCCATTTTCAAGTTGTCCTGACGCCTTGTCACTCTGCTGGAGGCCCTCACTTTTCGGGGGGCAGGGCCAGTCACTCCAGAAGTGTCTAATGCTGTGTTTCCTCTTGGACCAGGTTTTCACTAACGATAAGGCAGAGGAGTGTGTGAAGCTCACAAGTCTGTATTTGTTCGCCAAGAATGTGCGGTCTTTACTGCACACTTACCACTACCAGCAGCTTTTCCTTCATGAATTTTCCGTGGCCTATACCAAGTACGTCGGAGAAACACTGCAACCCGAGGCTTACGGCTACAGTAGTGTGGAGGAGCTCCTGGCAGCCATCCCCCAGGTGGGTGTCTTCTGACCTTGGAGAGCATCTTCCTGCAGGGCCATGGGCTTACACGCCTGAACAGAGACGTGAAATGGCAGGCGTTTTGAATAGGTCCTTTCAGAACATGCTATGTGCATAAGAGGAATGATTTTAGCATTTCCCCTTCATTCTCAAGAAGGTAAAACCTTTACCTGTAAACCTTTGTTAAATTCCTATACGCCAGGTGACTGAGTCCTAGACCCTGTTCTCAGAAAGGTGTCAGTCTTGGAGTTGGGACACCTGAGCAGATGAGGAGTCGGTGTCAGTGCAGCCAACAGAGGGGGCAGGGCCCACTCCTGGGCAGACGGGGGCGTGGCTTGCGGAGCCGACTGTGCAAGGATGTGTAGGAGCGGACCATGTGGTGAAGAGAGGGGCCAGGGCAGTCTGGGTAGAGGAGACGGGTGCAGATGCAGAGCTGCGAGAAGTAGTGGGGAGCGCGACGGAGGCCCTGCCCATCCAGGTGGGGGCAGGACCCAGCAGGGGCCAGGGAGGGGCCTCAGGTTTGCACGTGGAAAAAGACCACAGTCACCGCAGAGCTGAGAGAAACGGGAGGGGGAGGGGGGCTTGGCCAAGATGCTGGCCATCGCCAAGGGCAGAGTGAGGGCTGTGAAGGGACTGAGCCTGAGTGAAAATAATAAAAAAAGTAATTAAGGACACATGGGAGCGAGACCAGGGACTTGGTGACAGATGCCCGTGGGGGGGCACCAGGAGCCAGCGCTTAGCTGAGGAGGTGGGGAGCAGCAGCCTTAGGTAGAGGACTCGGTTTTAGGATTGGAATGATGAGCTTAGCTTGAGGGGGTCTGAGAGAGCTCCGTTAATTCTTTTGGGTGTGTTTAGTTCATGGGAAAATGGTAAGAACTGTCTCCATTTATAGACCAGAGCTGGTGTCTGGGAGATGGTCTTTTTAAGAGCCATAAAGAATATTTTTAAAGCCGAGTTTCATGATTTTTAGACTCACAGCTTTTGATAAGGGATGTGATTCTGCCAGCGTCTATGGCTTTAAAAGATAGAGTATAGAAATTTTTTTCTTGTCATTTAGTCTCTAAATTCCAGATGTTTGAAGCAGACACAGTAGGTCACATTGTCCCTGAAGTTTAGGGCTAATCTCCCACCCTTTCTCACTGCTTGACCAGAGTGTGTCTTGTGTGCAGGTGGTCTGGATAAAAGGACATGGGCACAAGAGAATTATAGTGTTAAAGAATGACATGAAAAGTAAGTGAGCGCCTGTCCCCTCCCCCTGCAGGGGTCCCGGTTCTCTCACTGACTCCTCCCTCTAACGGGTGGTGCTCTTGGCTCTTTGTCCTCCAGGTCGTCTGAGTTCACTCTGTATTTCCCCAGCCGATCATGAAAACCGGCCCTCAGCTACTGAGTGTCTCCTGGAGGTGCCCGAATGTCGCCCAGCCTCAGAGCTCAGACATGGAGCAGGTGAGGATGGGGAGAGGAGAGTCAAAGCTGGAGAAACTCCAGGAGAGCTGGGGCGGGGCGGGGCGGGGTGGGGCGGGGTGGCGTCAGTGTGTCTTTTTCATTAATTAAAGTTTTCATACGTTTTTCAAAGCAGCCTAGTATTTGGTTAATAACAAAAAAAACTGGCCTACATCTGACAGTGTTTTATGGCTCCTAAAGGGTGTTAGCACCCCCAAAATGACAATATGTCAACCCACGTCAGATGTTAAAGGAAAAAAATTATTCTGACGCTTGTTAAAAGAGTATTTCAAGACTGTTGCAGTCGGGTCAATTTGACTGCAGGAGGCGAGAAAGATCGAGCTCTACTCTGCATACAGCAGGGCAGTGGGGCTTACAGGGAGCAGAGCGAGGGCGTCGGTGCATGGAAAATGACCAGAAGAGGCAGCGGGGCAGGGGATGTAGTCAAACTGACCTAGGAGGATCCTTGCTCAAGACAGGCCAAGGACTTAGACGTCTCGGGTGCGGGTGAGGAGCTTGGTCAGATAGCATGGGGGCGGATTCTCGATAAACGGACGTCCTAAGAGTCTTGCTAAGACTGGACTCGGCAAGGGCAGGACAGACATGGAAAGCCAGGGGCTAGTGGAGAAGAGGGCTCAGAGGAGAGGCTTTGTCACAGGACACTCCTGGGAGAGACTCGATGGTCATTCATTAATATTACTCAGAACAACATTGAGTCACTTCGATGTTATGTGGAATCATCTCTGCAGAAATCAACTCACTTGAAATTTACAGCAATTTTAACTTCATTGGAGGTTAAACCCATTGCCGTGTATGAGAATTTTATCTTTCTAGGCCTCTGAAAGTGGTTAGTTAAAAGTGTTAGCCGTGCTGTGTTTATAACTCAGTCGTGCAGCATTTTACATTTTGTGAAGCACCTTAATGGGCCTCGTCTCCCTCAGCTGTCACCACGACCTTCAGCAGTAGGTATTTCCATCCTACAAACGAGGAACTGAAATTGCAGGAAGCGAAGTCACTTAATAGGATCACTTGGCTAGGAAGCGACAGAACCTGGACCCTCTTTGGAAGCTGACTGTAGATCCCTTTTCCTCAGACGACTCTCAGGGGAGGTCCTGGCATGTGGCATTTCACTTGCCAAAGAGAGACCCAGATCTTTCTGTTAAAAGCTTTTTTTAAAAACTCTGAGTTCCTGAGTACTTCCTTACAGTTTTCATCTTCAAGGCTTCGAAAGAAAGCCTCAGGCACAGACTTGTGGTAGACTGCTGTCCTGAGTAGGGTCATGGCCTGCCTTCTCTGTCCAGGGCCCCGTCACATGGAGCGGGAGCTTCTCCGCCTGGCCAGCGACTCCCCTGTGGACCTCCTGTGTGCACCCGTCCCTTCCTGCCTGCCGTCCCCTCAGCTGAGACCAGATCCTGTCACCCTCCAGTCTGCTGATCTCATTCAGTTTGAGGAACACCTGCAAGAGCCTTCTGGTAGGATGCACTGTGCTGCTGTGGGCTTAAAAATAAAACTATAATGCCAGTACTTTAAATGTTTGGTAGGGGTGGGGAGAAACGGTACCTTTTGGGGTACAGAGTACCTGTGCTGATTACTCAGGACCCTCTTTTCCTGTCAAGGTTCCTTCAAAATTGGGTTCACCGTCTGAGGCGGCTTTGGGTCTTGAAGGATGATGCAGCTGGTCTGGCCCGGAGTCGAATGACTCCAGAGGGTACGGGGCTCTCTGAGGGTACGAGCCGGGGTGGGAGAGGGACAGCTGTGTCTTGCGCTCCAGACTCTGGGCAGCGATCAGAGAAGCAAGAGGAAGCGGAGTGCCGAGCGCCCGCCTCGTGCCACACGGCTCGGCTCTCACTGTGCCCACAGCGCACTGGGGCCGATGGGCTCAGTCACATTTAATTCTCGCCACAGCTCTGCAGGTTAGGTGACAGGCACAGCCTGTGTCGTAACTAGAGACGAATCTGGCCCCAGGCTGCCGGAATAGCAAGTAGCAGAGTCAGGATTTGAACCCAGGGCCTCGTGTCTTTGTGCCGTAAACCCTGACCTCCTGAGAGGGTGACCCACCTGCTCTGTCGAGGTCCTTCCCTGTCGTCTTCCTCTGTGGTCACCGTTCTTCCCTGCGCTGCCGGTGCTGCTTCCCAGGTCAGCCTCCCGAGCCCTGGATTGGTTTCCCCGGCCCGTAGTCTTCTAAGCAGCATGCGGCACTATTGCCCAGTGACAGAACCAACTGTTCACCTGGAAAATAGGAGACGGGGAACCTTACACTTGGCTTCTGATACCGGGAGAGTTGGCCTGTGACGAGAGCAGGAGTGTGTCCCCTGGAACGCCTAACTAGAGCTGGCATTAGCTCTTCAGTGGGGTTGTAGCCTTGGTGCATGTAGTGTGCCCGAGCTCAGCCATACACGTGTCGAGAGAGAGATAATTTGAATGGTGTGGGCAGTGCTGTCTGACAGTCTCCTTGGTGAGGGTCAGCCTGAGGAGGGCGCTGGAGCGCTGCCATGACCCCTGCCCCTCCCACCTTCTGTGCGCCTCCGGAGCAGGAGCCCCTTGCTCATGCAGTGGATGTGTGAGGTATAACAGTACATCTCTTTAAAGCAACTTGGTTCCGTTTATACAGCAGGCTAATTAACTACACGTGGCTCGACTAGAACAGCCGGTAGCACTGCAGGACGGCCAGCTGTGTGTGACTCCCCGGACTGTCTAGGGCGGTTCTCACGCTGCCACTTTCCCCTCGCTCCAGCCATACCTTAGGTCCACGCAGAGCAGGGTCCTCTGTCAGTGGATGGGCCGGGGCTCCCTGATACTGGGGCCTCTCCTGTCTGAAAGTCTTTAAGTCACATGTGGCTTATGGGTCCTTAGCTACCTGACAATGAGTGGGCAGAGAATCCAAAGTGGAAAGAGGTGTGTTTTAAAGTCATGCCCATTGATTTGTAGCCAAATATGAAGATCCCTAAAACTTTGTAATCCATGGAAAAGCCAAGATGCCGTTTATAAATATTTGAGTGTGATACATAATATTGCTCTCACAGCTAACATGTAAATTGTGGCATGGACGTGACATTTGGGGGGTTATTTTTAAAATGTCTTCTGAGAAAATACGAGAAACTGAAAACCAACCCTTACAGGTCGTAGAACTGAATCTGTTTGCTTTTCTGTGTTTACAGAAGTTACGATTCTAACCCAGGAAGAGAAAGTTGGAGTCCCAGTACCAGGAAATAATGAAAAGCCGACCCCCGGCTGCCGCTCCTCTCGCGTCCCAGCCACCGTCTCGGTGCCCGCCTGCCCCCCGGACACCCCGGAGCCCCAGCACAGCAAAGACCCCGTGGAAAGCCCTGCCAAAAAGCAGCCCAAAAACAGAGTGAAACTGGCAGCCAACTTCTCCTTTGCACCTACAACTAAGCTTTGACTCATTTTGAACATAGCATTAGGATGGGAAAACACTGTCTGATTCTGCACACAAAAGCGGGCTCAAAAAACACAACCTCTGTTGTTTTAACGAAAACCGCCCAGAAGCCACTTCCTTCATCTTTAGGTGTATTCTATAATGTTTTGTTTCTTTTACATTGAACACAGCCTTGAGCTGAAGTTTTTCTTTTTCCCCCCACAGTTAAAAAAAAGACAAAAACTAAAACCAAAAACAAACAACAAAAACTGGCATTTGTTAAAAAATCCTTAATATATTTTACCAAATTCTTCTTAATTATGAAATATGATGGTGTTCCATAAGAAGAAAGCAGTAAGAACTCAGCTTGAAGGAAGTGGTTTTACTTCCCTTAAGACACATCAGTGGTGTAATCCTCCGTGTAGCGTAATGTAGTCTATAAGCCTTTGCTTACCGATGTTCCAGACAGTATTAATCATATGCATGACGTGTCTTGAAGCAAAGCCTGTTCAGTGACCCTGCGTGTCCGCACACCGAAGGAGGGTGGGCCGGGAGGTGAGGATGTATTTTCAGGGTGGATATGAAGGTTCCTGGCTCCCACGTGACTTGTAAGCGTGCCTTGTTTTTTATTTAACTATGTCCGTAGTTGACAAATGTGGCTTCATCACAAAATCTTTTAAATGTTTCCACTTTGGGGTTCCATTTAGGAGCTTTCTAGAAAGTTGCGAGTGTTTTAAGCTTCCCTTTTATGCTAAGTTCCAGGGTGATACGTATCAGGTTAAGGAAAAGGAGATGGTCTTGGTGTCAGGCATTTGAAGTCAGCATCTGAATTCCAGCACACGTTATCGTGTGTTGAGAGGCGGTGTTGGGAAGAGAGTCTGATTTCCTAAAATATGCATCAAGTGCATAAATTACAAATCAGAGCTGAGGGGTGAGATGCTTTAACAGGAGTGGTATCAATACTCTTTCCAATTGGAAGACACGGAAATTCTATCCACACATAGGAAGGCCAAGGTTGATCGACTTAACCTTGTTTTTGTAATTTTAAAGCTGGTTTTGGTAGCTGGGAAGCTTGATGTGTATGTGTTTGTGTATCTTTTAATAGTGTCTGCTTTTACTCTGTTACTTCTCGCTGTTGGAAGCATGTTCAGGATTTTTGTGGTGTCTGATGTTGGCATTTGGGGAAAGCCAGCCTTAAAGGGAGCACTGCCCTATGGAATGACCTCCGCCCCAAGGTGGCTGAGGCATCCGGTGATGGGTGGCCTCTCACCCCTCCTGGAGAAACCTGACATTTACAATGGGTTGTATTTGTTGGGCAAAAAGGCGGATTCGTTCATAGAGCAGAAAAAACCTGTTGGCAAAAGGTCTTCCACTAGTTAGGTGGTTTCTTTGGGGGAAATGTTTATATTTTGTAATTTCTAGAAAGCCAGAAAATGGGCTCTGATTTCATAGCCAGCATTTTGATAAAATGCCACAAAATAAGGGCTATAGAGAGATTTTTACAAGTTAGATTTTTGTTCCCCAAATCTTTTAAATGAAGCCAGTGATTCCTAGTTCTCAGCACGTGGCCCCACTCAGGGTGGAATGGCTCTGGAAAAGCCTCCCAAGCGCAATGGCACTCTGAATCCCTCTGAAGGCACTTCCTCTGCAGACACAGTGTGACAGGCAGAACGATGCAGACATGCAGTTTTTTTTTAAGAAGCTTTTAAACAGTCATATAGTTGATGTTGAGAACATCAGTTGCCTTATTCTGAGGCTTCATCAGGCTGAGTGTGCACACTTGGACTTTAGTTTTGCTCGCATGCGAAGAATCGTGGACTGTAGCAACCTAAGGGGCACCATTACAAGTCACTGGGGACGGTCCCGGGGAGCAGTTCCTTTGGGCAGCAGAGAAGAGACTGAAGCCGTGCGCTGTCAGGCGCGTGCGGTCACACCATTGGCTGGAGTCACCAGTCCGCCTGGGACGCACGTGTGACTCACAGTCGCTGTTTGAAGATAGAATACAGCGGAAGCTCGTTGTGTTCGTAATGTACTCCACAATGGCCAGTCTAATCGCTATCTATTTTTTTATCCAGAGGCTTAATTAAATGATGTGACAAAATGATGTATGAGAATTAAGACAATGAAATTCTTTATTTCCGAGTGGAAAGATGAATCGGATGAGATGTATCTGTTTAAAAAAAGAGAAAAATTATCACCAGAACCCCCTTTCCCATCTTGCACTTTTTGTTTTCGATCGGGTTTAGGGGAAGAGATGTTTTTTCTTAACTGTCTACTTTGTTTGAACACTTTTTTTTTTTTGTGATTCAAGTGCTGTTTTGTGTGTTGGGACCAAACAGTTGTCAATAAACTTTACAAGCAAGCATCTAGTCTGAGTTTGCAGGTGAGTGTTTTGTTTGTTGGAGGGGAAGGATCACAAACCAGTCCAGTTCTGTCATCTTCATTTGGGGTTCACCCAACTTCTCACCCCTTCTAGAAGCCGAGGCGTTGAGCACAAACTGGTCTGACGCTTCGGAGGCCCTTTTAACTTGGCGTCCAGCTGACTGGATATTGGCCCCTCCTGGTCAGGACCCTCCGAGGTTTCCAGCCTAGTTCCAGCTCGTAATCATGGCCGGGGAAAATACTGCAACCACAAAACGCCCCAGTTTTAAGACGGAGAAGTCCTAGGTCCCCGCGCCCTGTGACCGAAATCCACTTTGCAGGCTGCTTCGGTCTCAGTCACTGCCAGCCGTGCCAGCCCCTCATGAAAAGACTTCTGTCACAGATCGCATTGCGAAGCCCTTGCCGAGACACCTTAGTGCTCGACCCCTCTTACAAACACGAAAGGACCTAGAAGAGACTTGCACATTTGGGTAAATTGCTTCTCGATAAAGCACAATTTTCTTAAAAGTTCAGCATTAAAAAGCTCTTAAAAACCCTTGGCAGTCTTCCAGCACATCCCTCACGGCGGCAAACCTTCGCGGAAAAACTCCCGCTGCCACCGTGCCCCCTTAGGGCATCACGGAGTTCCCTGCGTCCAGACTGGGGTATGGAACGGGGTGTGTGCATGGGTCTTTGTGCATTTCCCATCGGGTCTGGAGAGGGTACCTTAGAAGATGGCTGTCTGAGCAAGAGCAGGCCTGTGCCCAGTTGTGCAGGCGCCGCGATCCGTCGCCTCTATCACAAGGGGCATACTGGTGCTTTGGGTCTTCTCTGGTTTCCAGCTGCTTCAGTGGGCAAAGACTGAATCATCCCTGCTCCCTCCCACGGCAGTGACCTACGATAGCCTCCATTTGCTCTGCGGCTCTGGGGCCGGGGGAGGAGCAGGAACCCTGACTCACTGCCCCATAAACCAGCAGTCAGGGGGCCCCCACCACTGCTTCACTTGACCTTGCATCCTCCCACATAGCTTCACGTCAGGTTCGTACAGTAGCTGGCCCATCTCCCAGCTGCTAATGTGATTACAGCATCAGCCTCGTCCAACTGGACTATGGGGAGAGATACAGAGAAGACAGATCCAATTTGCTTGTTTGAATTAATACTTTCAAGGCCAAGTGCAGAGTGTTTCCCAGGAGATTTCTAGTTTCTCCCTAAGAGGGAGGCAGCCCTGGGGAACGGCTTAGGTTGGAACATGAAAAGAATCAGTTGCTTTTGGCAAATTCGAGAACTGGTGAGGAAGAGAGAACCCCTCGCTTTTCAGGTGGGTAGGATGAGGAGGTCTCAGAGATGGAGGGCTAGAGCCTTCCTCAGCAAGATGCAGAGAAGAATTCAGATTTTCTGGGAAGAAAGGATTTGGAAATAGGGACGTAAGACACAGAGGAGGAAAAGGGGAAGAAATAACTGCAGGCGGAAGCTTAGGAACTGGCTCCCAGAGGCGCCCCAGGCTGGCAGGGCAGATCCTGGCTGCCTGACTGCTGCGGGCAGCTCATGTGAAGGCCTTCGCCCCTTCTGCCTCTGCCCAAAAGCCTTCCCAGATGCAGGGCCTGGAGTAGACTCTGAGGCCTGACCCCAGCCAATCCTCCCCCATCATCCCCGCCCCCAACTGAGGGCCCCAGGTTTTCTTGGCTGTCAGCTGGAAGCCGCCTGCAAAGCCTGGAGGCCACCCACAGTTCCCCCAAAGTGGCAGCTTAGCCCATCAAGCCAGCAAGGAGAACCTCCTCCAATCTTCAAAGAGGGAGCCTTATGCAATGGAACCTAACCAAGGGACTGACCTCCCATCATCTCTACCAACTTCCATTGGTTAGAAGAAAGTCCAGGCTCCGACTCCTAGGCCATTCGTAAGTATTTGATGACTGAGTGAATGGCTGATGTAGGAGGCCTGGGAGGGGTCCCGGGCTAAAGGTTTTGAAGGCCAAGAACCAAGCTTCAAAGCTGCAAGGTCCCTTAAGACCGATTAGTCCAACCCAACATCTACTCCCAACTGAAGTTTACAGATGGGGAAAGCGTGGCTGGAGAGGCTGAGCCACTGCCCAAGTCGCCCCGTGGCACAGCGAGGCTGGAGGCCCTATACAGCTCCCAAGTCCAGCCTTTACTGAGGCCCCCCCACAGGGGTGCCAGCACCGAGCCATGTGTGGGGACCCCGATGAGCGAGACGTGGGCTCTGCCTCCCTGCCTCCCCAGTAGCAGCAGGTCTCTGGGGCTGAGACAGGAAGACCCCTTGGGGGTAGTAGTTCTCCAACTGGAGAGGACATTGAATCACCAGGGAAGCACATATATAAGGCGGGCCGTCTGCTACAACCACTTCCCTGGGCTCTTCAAAATTGTCAGGGTCATGTAAGACAGAAATGACCGAAGGAGACTGAAGGGACGTGGCGATGGGGAGCAGCCCCTGTCCCTGGACCAGATCTCAGACAGGGGAGGAGGAGACGCACCATAGTGGAAATTATTGGGACAATGAACGAAATGTAAATACTAGGTCACAGCACTGTGTCTTTGGATGTTGAGAACTGTTCTGAAACACAGAAGAATGTGCCCGTGTTCTCCACGCAGGCTGAGATTTAAGGTGACACCACATTGTGTCCGCAATTAAAATCATTCTAGAGAGAGAGAGAAGGATACAGCAGATGCGGGGATTCTTTGTGCTGTTTTGAAGACAACTCTTTGGTAAGTACAAAATCATTTCAAAATAAAAAAATCACCTTAATATTGTTGAACGAGCTCCTGGACTCTCTAGAGATTAAGATATGGGGTAGTTGGGATGGGAGCTGGCTAGCCTGGTGCCTGCTCAATTTCTTTGCACACCGTGGGGCCGGGCTGTAGGATGGAGAGAAAAGGGGGCCCAGAGCACCGAATCTGACCAGGGGGCTGAGTTCTGTCCTGGTTTGGGTGAGCTTGCTGGCGACCTTAGCAAATCCCTGCCCTTCTCTGAAAGCCTGTTCTCATTCTCTAAAAAGCAGTGGACCCTTGTTTGTTTGTTTGTTCGTTTGTTTGTTTCAACTTCCCAGCATCCATTCTCTCTTCTTCTGGCATAACTGGGCTGATAATCCACTCCAAACCGCTGGCCCCGGGGTCAGCCTTTGGCCCCCAGCTTGGATAAACAGAGAACCACACCAATCTGCCCCAGCAAATGATTCCGGGCTGGACATGTGATTGTTTAAAACAAGACAAGACCACAGGCCCCAAACGGAGTCGCTTATGCTAAGCCGCACGTCACCAAACCCAGACTTAACTTCAGTTTTGCCTCTCCCAGGAATGAAACTGAGCCATCGGCAGAGGAAGGGGACGGCCATGGGAAGGGCTGTGAGCAGTGGGGAGAGCTGGTGGGGCACAGTCAAGGTCGGGTGTGACTGCGGGACCGTAGCCCAGGGAAGGTGCAGACACCTTGAGGAAGCTCTTGGAATGGGAGTCACAACTTTTGTCACATGGCAGTGTGTTCACATGTCAGCCCACTCTCAGCTTCATGAGGGCAGGACCCCGGACCCAGGAAGGCATTCTTCACCCTTTCTTTCCTCTCCAAACCCCAGGCCCTCCCAGACCCTCAGCAAACCTTGGGCAACCTTCTGATTTCACAGTTTCTTGCCTTTAGACTTAACCAATAATAACCGACTTTACTACACGCCTTGCTCTAAATGCTTCCCATGTATTGTCTTCTTTAATCTCCCTGTTGTTCTCTCTATTTTACAGATCTGGGCAAGGAGGCAGACAGAGGTGAAGGAACTACGCAGACATGCACAGGGAGGCATTCCACCAGGGTTTTAACCCAGGCAGGCTGACTCCAAGCCGAAGCCCTGGTCACTTTCTCGAATCCATCCCCTCTAGCTGGTTTTGTTCAGACTTAACACTGGCAAGGAGGCCTCCCCGTGCCCTCCCATTTAATGTCCATCTCCCTCACCAGAACATAAGTTACACAAAGGCAGGCCCAGCCCTGTCTGGTTCATCTCTGTGTTCCCCAGTACTTGCCCCTGGCAGAATTAACTAACTCATGAACGAGTGGAAAAAATGACCTGACATTTGCTCCTCAAGCCAGGCTTCCTGAGGGTTTTGCTTCAGCCTCTGATGCCCACCCAGCTGTCCTGTGGGTGGCAGGCATCCATCCGAGACTTGGCTGGTGGCATTGGGCAGGTTGTAACTGCTTCTTCTCAAGCTGCAAAGGAGCTGAGCTGGTGAGCTCCGGCAGCCCAGGGCTGTCCAGGCACCCCAGAATGGAAAGGTTTATAGCTGGGGTGGCTCTGAGACCCCTCTAACTGAGCACAGCTCAACAGAGAATGGGGCAGTGATGCTGCTGAGATTAGAAAGGAGAAATAAGCACCCTGGGCCTGGCTCTCACTCTGCTCTCAGACTCAAGTCCCAGCCCTACCACCTACATGCTGTGTGACCTTGGGCTACTCACTTCCCCTCTCTGAGCCTCAGTTTCCACATCTGCCAAATGAGGGTGATGAGCCCTCTCTCCCTCCAACGGAACAGTGAGTGAGGGAATGTTCCCCTGCCTGACGCATCTGGTTTCCATGCCAGTGCCTTGCTGAAACTCCTCACGCCAACCGCGTTCTACTGCAAAGTCCTGTGGGTCCGTTTCTTAAAGTTCTTAAAGTCATATGACTGCTGGGTCGGGTTGGATGCTGTGGAACACACTCCTCCTTGACACTGACCCGTGTTCCTACTTCCTCCCTCGATGCTTCTACTCAGTTTGTTCCCTTAACCCAAGATGACGGTGCAGGAGAGTTGTAAACTAGAAGCAACACACCTGGGTAGGTCTGCATTCTAGGAAGGTCATTTTGGCTTCAGAGTGGTGCACGCATAGACCCGAGAAAGAGCTAGCAGGGAATCTGAGTTCTTGGCACCGGGAATAATGCGGGAAGGTCCAGGAGAGAGGCCAACAGAGAACATGACGAGAAGAACCAAAGAACCCAAAGAAGCCTTTTGTGACCCCAGCACAAAAAGGGATCTGGGCGAGCAGGTGGGGTGAGGCGAGGGAGGTAGGAAGGAGCCAGGTCTGAGAGAACCTTTAAGCCACATGAAAGAACATGGATTTTATCCTAAAGGCTGTGGGAATGGTTTTGAAGAGAGTGACGATTGGGTTTGAATTATTCAGGAACTCACCTGGATGCCGTGTGAATGACCAGTGCCAACGAGGCCAGTTAAGAAACTACTGCGGTTGACCAAGCAAAAGGTGGTGGTGTGGACAGATTCTAGAGAAATCTAGGAGGTAGACACTGAAGACTTAGCAATTGCATGGATGTGAAGAGGAATCATCCAGGATAAGTCCTAGTCTTGGGCAACTGGGTGATGCCATTTCCTGGGATGAAAAGTACAGGGGAGACTGAGGCAGTTTGGGCCAACTTTTTCTTATAGGGCCAGAGAGTAAATATTTTAGAATTTGCAAGCTACCTGGTCTCTATTACGACTACTCAACTCTGCTGTTGTAGCCCGAAAGCAGCCATAGATAACACATCATAAATGCTGACCCTGAACTTAGGACATGTCCCATCTGATGTGCCTACTCTGGGTCCCAGTGGAGGTCCTCAGGAAGCAGTCAGAGGCATGGGTCTGAGTGTAAGAGAAAGGTCTAGGATAAATAGAGAACCCAGGATCATCAGAGTGTAGATGGCCACCTGAGACCAGGAGGGGAGAAGAGCAGAATGCCGAGGGTCAGGTACTAAGGACAAGGAAGAGGTCAAAAGACTGGAGAAATGTCCTTCTGAATAGTGGGAAGTACACCTAACTAGTGGAGCTTCTTAGAAGTCAAATCGAGTGTGGTAACGTGGTGCAGAGAGCTAGGACAGCATGGGGGTTGATGTGCGTCAACTGGATGTAAATGAACGGAGCCAGAATATGCACCCCCAAAAGATGTCTCTTTGGCCCATGGATGATATTGAGCCAAAGGCCATTAAGAACCAGCAGATGCAGGGAAATTTCTAAATACAGGGCAAGAGTTTACCTTTTGCAAAGGAAATTTCCATTTACCAAGAAAATGTAAATTTCCATTTGTGAAACATTTTTCCCTCTCCCGTACCAGGAAGAGGAGGACTCTTACCAGTAGAGAAGGCAGGACTTGAATCTCCACACCAAACCTTACTCAACAACCCTTCTACCAAACTTCTTCTAGTCACCTTCCCATGACTCGCCTCCCCAGCCCAGAAATGCCAACTCCCTCCTCCTTTGTTTTAGCTTAAGATGGTGCACACACCCAAGTCCTAACCACCCGTTTGTGTAACTCGTCGCTGGGTGCTTCCCCGCGTACGTGTACAATGCACGAGTTACTAAACTTCTCTTTGTTTTTCTCTTGTTATTCTGTCTTTGGCCAGCTCGTTTTCAGGGCCCCAGCTAGAGAATTCAAGATGGGTTAAAAAAAAAAAAAAAAAGATTTTTCCTCCCCTACATAACTAAATGGTGAGAGGGGTCAGAGACCAGAGAGTGTCAGAAACCAGATTAAAATAGGTTGAGGAAGGAGCTAGAGATGAGAAAAACGGAGATAGCAAGATGACGGACAAGTCTCAAGAAGGCTGTAAAGATCTAGGGAAGGTGGTGGCTAGAAGGGAAGATGGGATGGAGGGTTGTTTGTTTTTTAATGGGAGTGTTGTGTTTAAATGCTGATGGGAAAAGCAAGAACTATGGCAGTTACAGGGGGTGGGTGCTGAATGGTGACCCTGCCCCACTCACCCATGGGACCTTGGACCACCTCCTCATCTATGAAGTGGGGTTGTGGAGTTGATGTGAGCAGCAAACTAGAAAATGTGCACACGTGGCTCGGTGCACAGCAATAAGCTCTCAACGAATGCTACCTCTGTTGTTATCCACCCCTCCCCTCTCCCCTGGCTGCCAAGAAAAGCGAGTCTAGGTGTGTGGGTCCCTGAGGTCTGCAAGGTTTCCCAGCTTTGCAGGCAGCCCTGGTGACCTGGGAGCATCTTGAATTATTACTTTCCTCTGCTCTTCTGTGAAAGTCTAAATAAATGTTGGTTGTTGTTGTTTTATCTTTTAAAAAAATTAATAGCAGGAACATAAGTTAGGGCCACTCCAGGGCTCCGCAGATGTACTACGGGCAGGATTTTTATGAGCGTTTCGATGTCCTTCCGCCTCTTGGATCAGGGAGTGGCTGCTCTGTAATTGGTCTGAGGTCAGATCTTCCAGACCCACATTTTTCACAGTCAAGGGAGAGTGGTGGGCCCTCTGCACCCCAAGTTTTTATTGCAAGAGCAGGAAGCATCTGTGTAGGGGGTTGAACCGCCTCCCCCCAAAATTCGTGTCTACTTGCTGTCTCAGAATTTGGCCTTATTGGAAATAGGGTCTTTGCAAAAGTAAAAAAAAAAGGATTAAGATGAGATCATCCTGGATTAGGGTGGGCCCTAAATCCAGTGTCTGGTGTCCTTAGAAGAAGAGGAGACACAGACACACAGACAGAGGAGAAGGCCGTGTGAAGACAGAGGTAGAGATCGAACCGCTGAAGCCAAGGATCGCCGGGAGCCACCAGGAGATGGAGGAGGGAAGGAAGAATTCTTCCCTAGAGGCTTCAGAGGGAGCACGGCCCTGCTGACACTCTTATTTCAGACCTCGAATCTCCAGAACTGTGACGATCACTTTCGGCTGTTGGAAGCCATGCTGATGGAGGTAATATGTTATGGCAGCCTTAGAAGTCTCTTACAGCCTGGCTTGGAGCTTGGTCTCAGGCAGTGAAGGACACAGTGTCCCCTGAGGCCAATGTGGCAGCACAGGCAGTGGCCTGAGAGAGCCTCTTCAGCTTCAGGATGGCAGAATGGCAGGCCGAAGCTGGGACTGAAGCAGAAACACATCTGAGACAGAGTGAGAGGGGCCATCGAACCAGAGACTCTGGGGTCCTCGATTAGAGAGACAGTGTGTCAGTTCTGAAGCTGCCGTGACTTGAGAGACATTCAGATTTACTTCTGATTTACAAATATATATATATACTTTTTAAATGTGACCCATTAGTGGCCTAAGAACTTTACTTTTAGAAGTTTATCTTAAGGAAAAATCAGAAATTCAGATAGATTTATCCCCAGGGTGTTTATCGTGATATTACTTATTATACTGAAAAACTAGAAACAGCCTAAATGTCCAAGAGTGAGGAAAAAGATAAATCACAGTATATCAAGAAGATGATTACTGAGCAGCCATTGTAAATATTTATGACGAGTGTTTAATGTTTACAAAGAGCTTTTAATGATGTGAGAACGATAATGATACGATGTTAAGCAAAAAAAATGAAAACTGGTTATAAAATGGTATAATATGATGCCAGCCAGGAAAAAAATGTATAAAAAAGAGTGACAGCCAATATGCCAAAATGTCAGAGCAGAGTGGTCTCTAATTGGAGGAGTTATGAGAGTTTAAAAAAAAAAAAACAACCTCAACCAAAAAAGTTCTTTATATTTTCTATACTTTTTAAATGATTCACCATGTCCATGGATTACTTCCACAGTCGAGAAAAAAGTAAAAACTTAAAAAATGCCGTGTACGTGGTTTCCACTTTTATTTTCTTCGATGGATGATTGCACATCAGCAAACCTTGCGTTATGCTAACTACTGACGCCAGTCACGACACACACACACACGCACAGAGAGGTCACATGGGCTGTGCCGAGCTGGCTGTAGCATATGTACATCACGTTACCCGGGTGGAATTGTTAGGCTGGTTGAAATACACCACCAAATGATGGGACACGGTAGGGTCAGGCCGCCTCTCCCGCCCGCCGCGGATGTTCACGGAGGTCTGTGCGTTAGGCTGGTGAGTGGGGTCCTGCTGGCATTCCTTCCGGTGGCCCCCGGTGGGTGAAGAGCATCCGGGTCAGTATCTGCTCTGGGTCCCCTGCGTGTCTGCCTTTGCCTTGGTGTTGGAGCCTCTGGCTCTCCAGTACCTCTTTCAAGCATTGGGTGTGCTCCAGCCCAGGCCCCCATCCCCTCTGCTCCAAACACCTGGGGCAGCCATCGCAAAGGAAGGAAGAGCCAAAAGCAAATGGACACGCTCCTGGTGTGACCTGTGCCCAGACACAGGAGGGGAGGAAGTGGGAGATGTGACCACGACACCACATACAAGCTCAATCTTTAGAGATGGGCCCTCTGTGTCTCCAAGACATGTAGGCTATGTGGAGCCCTCCAGGGCACAGGCCCTGGGAAAGGGCAGACGGGGGATGGGAGCTGTGCCCGTTTGGGGCAGGCCTGACAGCAGAGCTAGGAGGGTAGATGGGGATGTGTCCAACATGGTGCTAGATTGTTGAAAAGTCACGACTGTACACACCTGGGGACCATGCCCCTCTCCCAGTTCATTCACACAGTGGGTTAGACACAGCTAGACAGAAGTGGAGATATACTTTTTCGAGGGAGGACCGTTTCCTGGTGGTTGGTTGGATAAACAGTGAGACAGACTCCTGGGTTCGGCATGCTCTGGGGAGGGCCATGCGACGGTGAGGGACTCCCTATTGCTACACTCTGTACAGGGCGACCGGGCCCGCCCGCCACGCCCACGGCCCCTGGCGGCAGTCACAGGCTTGCCTTCAACCCCTTCCGCCTTTGAGAGCTCTTGGGCCCCGGTGAAATAGGGGCTGTGAAGACAAGTGGGTGGGGGGGGAGGTCCCCGTGGCCCCGGGGGCACCCCATGTGAGGGCTACATGATATTGCACTGGGTGGCCCCACAGCAATCCTTGATGAGTGCCAGCCCGGTCTTGGCCACTGTGGGCTTGCTAGGTGGGGGCTCTGCTTTCTTCTCGGCTCGGGAGCCTGCAGCAAGGTAGGAGCACAGAGGAAGAGAAGGAAAAAGGGAACGAGGGAGAGGCGAGGGGAATGAAAGAGGGAGAGGTGAGGTGAAGAGAGCCCTGACCATTTGCAGCCCCAGGCCCATCCCAACCCCTAGCCAGGCCTTGCTTCAGCTCCACAGATCAGGTGGCAAGGAGAGCTAGCGCGAATTACGTGTTAACTGTTCCCATTTTCCTGTGAGCCCACTGGCTTTCTGTCCTCAGCTTCCAGCCACAGCGTTTAGCTCTTATCCTATTCAGTTCTCCTTGGCATTGTATCGGCCAAGCCTATCACAGGGTCTAGCATGCAAGACGTAGTTGGTGAATGAATAAATGGGAGTTTTGTTCGAGTCACTTCGGTCTGAGGGCTCATGTCTTTTAATTCTGGAAAATGCTCAAACATTATCCTTTCAGATACCTCCACCTCTCATCCTCTGTTACCTCTTCTTCTGAAATGCCTATTAGATGCGAGTTGGACCTTCTTATTCTGTCTTCCATATTTCATAACTTGTCTTTCATATTTTTCCATCTTTTTGTCTCTGTGCTGCATTCTGGGTAATTTCCTCAGCTCTGTCTTCCAATTTATGAATTCTCCCTTTGGCTGTGCCTCTGTGTTTAATCCATCGAGTTGTTACTTAAATAACAACAATTTTTTAGAAAGCTATTTGTTTGCTTTTAGAATTTTTAGAAAGCTAATTCTTTCTTCATAGCATCCTGCTATTTCATTTTGGGTTGCATACCTTCTCTCATCTCTTTAATAATTTTAAATATATTTATTGTCTCTTTTAGATAGTCTGTTATTTCTGGTTCTTGGGAGGACAGACATTCTCTTTTCTCTTTGTTGCATCTTTTGACTTCTCTTATGATGGTTCAATTCTTCATGAGTTTTAAACGTTTATTGAGAGCTCATCTTCATGGGGGTCGTTTTATTTGTGGACTGTGTATTATGTAATGCTGAAGGGTCCCTATTGAGCAATTTTGCATTTGCTTTGCTGGGGTCCCAGAGATTTTATTGGTTTTAGATTGGTTTTAATTGTTCGACTTGGGATTCCAGTACCAGATAAGTAGTATAAATTTGGACGCTACACCTGAACCCTTGCATGTGGTATAGATTGCTGTTTTGATCTCTTGCCAGAATTCTTTTTTCTATCTACACAAAAGGCAAGTTTCCTTGCTCCTTCTCCACAGTGTTAGGTGGAGTTTTCTAATTTGCCTTTTATGGAAGAGACAGCCCATTGAGGACACTGGATTTACACAGGGACCATGTACCGGATGATTTTAGGGGCCTGCAGAAGGGACTATGGCTCTTCTCTTTCTTTATTCCCCCCCATGCCATACGACTGTGTGTTTCATGGGATGTTAGTGGATGATCAGGGAAGACTGTGTTCGCAGCTATAGTCAACAGGAGCAGCTTTTGGATTTGGTCTGCCTAGCAAGATTTCTAGTCCCTTTTATTCTGATAACAGCTCATGTCCCCGTGGTGACCCAGATCTGGCCGATCGCAGTCCCCCAGCCTCTTGGTAACGGTGAGGGGCCTAGGAGATGGGAACACGATCCAAGAAAGGCCAATCGGAATCTTTCCGAGATTCATATGTTTAGCTGCCAGGAGAGAATCTATGGTGCTGCCTTGCTGCTATGAAATTATGGTTCTGAGGTCCTGGCCCCGTGGTGAAGAACTGTGTAGTAGGAGAAAAGGAAGCTAACGTACAAAGAAGGGCAGAAACAAGAGATAGAAGGAAGAGTTCTAACAGTGTCCAGTCTCTGAAGCCCTAGTTCTTTCTGCTCTTCTTCCAACCTCTTCTCCCCATCCCCCACTTTTTTTTTTTTTGCTAGGGATAGTTTAAATTGGGCATCCATTTCTTGTAAGTGATAGCAGCCTCGCTGGGTCAACAAAGAGAAGACAGTTCCTTGACAGCAGGACCCATTATCAGTTTAACATGCTAATGAACTTTCGGGCCCTCCATACAGAGGGTCAGATATGCAGCATTTCCCAAACTTATTTCACACAAAACATTTTTTGCTCCGAGTATCTTGTGAGGCTAATTTTCTGAGAAGCATCCTTCTGGTTCTACTCTCCCAGAAATTCCAACTCCAGCAGAGGCCAGAGCTCCCTGAGCCTCAGTGGCCACCCAGCTCTTTCTATAAAATGTACCAGACGGCATATGATTAGAGAATAACAGTTGCTGCCAGAACCAGCTATGTAGTTTGCAGAACCCGGTATAAAGTGAAAAAGTGGGGCCTCTTGTTCCGAAATTCTTAAGAACTTCAAGACAGGAATAGCTGAACAGTAACCTTCCAGGTATGGAGTCCTGGACGACGGCCTTGCTTGCACACTGATGAAGCTGGCCCTGCCTGCTGCCCCCCTGTACCTAAGTTTGATCTCTAATAAGTGTTTTGTGGTGCTTTCTCTGGATCCCGGACCTCTTTTTAATTTCCTTTTTTTTCTTGGATGGGAGGAGGAGAAGAAATAAGGTGTGCACTTACTGGCTGAAGATTTGGTTACTTTGTCTGGCGGTTTTAACTTGATTCTCAGGAAATCGGCCATTTCTTTGTCTTCTTCTTGCTCCCTGTGAAGACAGATGGGTGAAGACGAGAGGAAAGTACAGTAAACAAGGGAAGCATCAAGGAACTGATGACATAAGTCAGGAGGGTAAGTGTGTGGGACCATATAATAGACTGTGGATAATGCATTATGTTGTATATCATGCATGGATGTTGCATGGATGTTGGTATGTGTGATATGTGAGTGATGAGTGTATGTTGCATGTTATGTGTGGGTGGTACTGTGTGTTATGTGTGGATGGTGTGCATATGTTTTGTGTGTTATGCGTATATGATATTTGTATATTGTGTTTGATAAACCTGCTCTGAAGCAGAGACACATATCTCACTGATGGAGTAAATGCCTACCTAGGGTATGGATGAGACCCCAGGGCAGAGGCAGGGACGTTACAGGACTCTCTCTCCCTGCTGGGGGTTCAGTGAGCTGGGCAACACCTCTCCTGACCCTATATCCTTAAGTCACTCTAGATACCTATGCTCCCATAAGATATGTGGCAGGTCTCAGAGCGCAGGTCACCTCAGCTCTTCCAGGGGTCACCAGGAGCAAAGACAGTGGGCCAATCCTGGTTGAGCTAGGCAACGTGCACCCCAGGGGCCTCAGAGGACCCAGGTAGACAGAGAGAATAAAGAAGAAGTAATCCTCTGGGTTGGAAGAGGCCCTGTGAGCCCCTCTCCTTGTGGAGGGCTTCCAAGGCTTTGCCAGGACAAAAAATATTCAAGAATCAACATTCTCATCTTTCCCCTGCTCAGCTTCCTCCACAGCCTCCAAACACACATGGCTCCAGTGCCCATGGCTCTGCAGATCAAGGAGGCAGGTACATCTGCAAATAGGAGACCTTAGAGGAACTTCAAAGCCATGAAGGAGAAGGAAAGGAAAGAAAACACTGGGAGGCAGAGAAGGAGGCAAAGAAACAAGTCAGTATAGTGGGCAGAGTTTCTATCGAAACCAACGGAAGTTTCTAGAAATCGAAGAGAATGTGTAGGAAGCGCTGCCGTGTGTTATATGGTTTAATCTTTCCCTGGCCACCTCCTCAAATGACCTTTAGTTAAGACCCACAGGCCTTTGCAAGGCTGGATTTGACTTTCTCTTGAATATGAAATGGGTCCTCAGGCCAGAATGGGTCCTCAGGGTTCATCTGGATCCAGCGTTGTGGGTGCGTGTGCCGAGGCCACACCTGTTAGGCAAGGCTGTGAATCCCAGGAGCAGACGATGGTTTTGGTAGGAAGCTAAGGTGAGTGGGCGGTGCTCCAGGCAGTGCAACCCACTCACCTTAACCGCTCGACCTCGGCATCATCCACCAGGAAGTCTCTCTTCTGCACCAGTTTGTGGATCTTCTGGATGAGCTCGTCCTCTCTCTGCTTCTGAAGCTTGGTTTTTTCTTTTTCTGGGAAGAAACAAACATCAGCAAAGAAACAGCTGAGTAGAGCTGTTGAAAGCACTTGAGTCCGAGGGGCCGGGGGGTTGGAATCCTGCCTCTACCATTTCACTGGATGGGTGAACTTGAAGAAGTCACTTGACCTCTTCAAGCTTCAGTGTCTTCCTCTGTCAAATACACCTAGTGAGGCTAAAGCATAGTGATGTGAGTCGATGGCTTCGCATAGAGCTTGGCCATGCGTGGCAAGTGCTCACTGAATGGTCATGATGCAGCCAGGGGGTTGAGCAGAAGGTAGAGGGCTCAGCGGACTTGGAGGGCACGGAGGAGGGTGCCAGGAGGGAAATACTCCACAGCACGGGTAAACCGATCCGTCGGATGAAAAGTATCCATGTTGATGCCATTAGTCCTGTCCCAAGTACCTAGGACTGACGTTGACAATTTCCTCTAGATCTGGAGGCAGAATCAGAGGCGAGGGGACTATAATATTTGAGCAAGAGAGAAAATCAGCTTTTCTCGTTAACCGCAAGGGGAAATGAAAAAGGGGGTGGAATTTCTAGCAACCCTTGGGATTCCTGGCCGTTGATGGTGGTGGAGGGGTATCCTGTGGGCCAGACTCCCCAAATCATTCGCCGACACCACAGAGCACCTCCCAGCCCTCTGCAGGTGAGTTAACGCAGAGTCCAGACTTGCCAGGGTGCCTTGGTCCCTCAGCTCTCTCAGGCGGTCCGGTCCATAAGGACTCACAGGGCCTCCAGGAACTGACACACCTCCCTCCCCGAGTTGTTCGCTCCTGTTTCCTGTCTCTGACCAGTTCAGGCATCCCCTAGCCTCCCAGGTACTCAGTTGCAGCCCTCTCCTCATGCAGCCCTTCCTCGTAAATCACAGAGAAGCTACCTATTCAAAGTGATCTGTGCCAGCTTACAAACCAGTTCCCTACCCAAGTAGCCACTCCACTGCCCAATACAGCTCACCTGCTTGTGCGTGTCACATACTTTTCTGCCAGCATCTCTCACCGGCCTGCAGGCCCCACCCACCTGCTTCCACGCCCCACCCACCTACACCTACTTAGCCGATGAGAACCGCCAACTTACCTTCCACGTGCTGGCATCACACGCCTGATTCCTAACATCTCCACGCACCTGTCAATGTGACCCTCCACTTGCTTCTCATTTCCTCCAGCACGCCTCCTCAGTCCAGGCCACCATCGCCTCTCCCTGGGCCATGCCGTGGCCTCCTAACTTGTCTCCCTGGACTGGAGCCCCTATCCCAACTGTGAGAACTCCCTGAGGAATCAGAGAGCCCTGGCTTGACGCCCCAGCTCCTCACCTTCCTAGCTGTGTGACTCCGGGTACAAATGATTAAATGCCCTCCAGATTAAATATTTACTGAACCAGGTACAAAAGAAAAGAATCCTTATTGAATGAAGGAAAAGCAAATCACACAGTGTAAGTGTGAAAGGCAAATGCTTAGTAAATTGAAAGCTGTTATATTTATATTCTCACAAGCTTTACATTTTCATCTAATCTAGCTTCCTCAACCTTGACACTATTGGTATTTGTGTTAGGTAATTATTATGGGGATTTGTCTTTTGCACTGTAGGATAGTTAGCAGCATCTCTGGTCTCTATCCACTTGATGCCAATAGCCTTTCTTCCCCCAGTCGTGACAACCAAAAGTGTCATCGGATTGCCCAAAGTCCCTTGGGGGACAAAATTGCTCCTAATTGAGAATCACTACCTTAAACCTTTCAAATGAGGGAGATACGATTTCCATGCCCAACGAGAAGGTGCCACGGCCCCTACAGCCAGCTCTGAGCATCTCTAGCTTGAAGACAGCGGTGGTGGCAATGGAGTGGGGGGGTGAGGCATCTTGGCTTGTCCTGGGGAAGCACTCAATGCAAGGAGGGCCCTGAGTGTTCTTTCTGACCAGTCACCCGCACCCAACCTCCGGGAACTGGTGAATTATTTTCCGACCTTGGCTGGCAAAACATGATGGTTTTTTTTTTTTTTTTTTTTGGTCATTCAGTGCTCTCTTTCTTTAATACTTTTATTGATGTGTTGCCCAGAGCATCATTTCTTTCCCTCCTAAATTTAGCTAAATCTATCTAGAACCCTGGCAGTGATCCAGGGAATACACAGAAAGACTCTTAACAAGGAATCAGGGGAGAAAGTGGGGACGGGTGAGCAGGAACGCAGGAAGGGAAAGGAAACGTTGATATCTGACTTGCCGCACAAAAGTGATCGGGACGGTTCCTGAGGCATCAGTGAGACTGGCGTTCAGGGCCTGGGCTCCGTTGCTAACTGGCCCTACGACCTTGTGCAGCCCGCGTTTCTTGGCAGGGCAGCTGATGGCATTCTTCATGAGGAACTGCCCCTACGCTGCAAGTTTCAGCACCGCTGGCCTCCGCCCAATGAGTAAGTATCAGTACTGATCTCACCGTCATTTAAACTTGCAGTATTTTGCTCATCGTGGATTTTTGGTATGAATTTTGATATTTTAACCCAAATACCCGTTGCACTAAAATATTATTTATCCTAATTACTGAGTTTTTTGGTGCTCCAGTTGAGTGCCTTGTTCTTCCCAACCTGGTCCCAGTCCTGGTCAGTCATGAGCCCCCATTTCCAAAGACCCCTAGCGCCCACCCATTTCCACATATGCTCTAGAGGCTGCCACATCCCCGAGGGGAGCCCTTCTGGACTGAGGGGGTCTTGGCTGGCCTGGTGGCCATGCACTCTCGTCTCCTTTACCTCAGTTGCTGGCATAAGTCCTGCTGAGCCAACAATGGGCTCTGGGAATCCTTTCTCCCAAGTGGGAGGTGTCAACACATGCTGGGCCCGTCAGAGTCTCCTGGGAAGTTGAAAATTGGGTCACGGAGGCCCTGAGAGTTGGGGTCTTGTGTGGGAAGATCGTGGAAGAACATTCTAACAGCTTTCCTTTTCTGACTCTGGACCCTTGTGAGGTTGGGGCAAACTTCATGCCTGCATGGGATAAATCGTATCACCCCCCTCCCCAGGTTTCATGTCTACCCTACTTGGAAATAGGATCTTTGCAGATGTCATCAGTTCAGATGAGGTCATATTCATTAGGGTGCGTCCTTAATCCAATGACTGGTGTCCTTATAGGAAGAGGAGATGATGCGTGGAGAGAGGAAGGCCATGACGACCGAGGCAGATTTTGGAGTGAGGCTTCTACAAGTCAAGGAACACCGAGGATGGATGGAAGCCCTTGGAAGCTGGAAGACGAAGGAAGGATTCTTCTCTAGAAGCCGACGCTTTGGTTTTGAATCCCGGCCTCCAGTTTCTGTTGTTTGAAGCCGCGAAGTTTGCGGGGATTTGTTACAGCCGCCCCGGGACGTGAACTCAGTGCCCAAGGGTTGCAGGGGTCTCCGCTGCCCTTCCCGTAATTGCCTGTTTGGTGCTTACATCCACTTGGGTGCGTTTCATACCGTTCAACCAAACCGTTCCTCAGGGGCTGTGGGGGCTATAAAATGACCGAGTCGAACTGGCCTGGTGGCTCTCAACCCTGGCTGCTCACCACAGTCACGTGAGGAGCTTTTATAAGTGACCAGTGCCAGCGCCCCACATGAATCGAATTGGAATTTCCAGTAGGTGGTGTCTGGACTTGACTATTTTTCCCCTATTTATTTATTGTCTTATGTTCGACATTTTACTTTCCATGGTACCAGTCTTATTAAAACATAATTTACATATCATACAATTCACCTTTTGAAAATGTTATTCAGAGTTATGGAACCATCACCACGATTGAGTGTGGAACATTTTAATCAACTCCAAAAGAAATTCCGTACCCATTAGCCGTCACCCCCTTCCAGTTAGGGCTGTTCCCTCGCTTGTGTCTTCCCGGGGCCTGCACGGGGCCTGGCACAGAGCACGTGCTCCCTAAAGCGGCGGCATCTGAAAGTTCTGCTGCTGTTGCACACACCCCGTCAGAACAGGAATGCGTTGGGGGCACGCCTACGCTTTGCCTTTGTGATCTCGTGTTACGTCGTGGCACAGTCACAACCACCATGGAAGAGGGGCATCGCTGGCGTCATTTTACAAGCAAGGAATTTCAGGCTCAGAGACATGACGTCGTTCCATGAAGGTCATCCAGCGGCTTGTCACTGGACTCTAATTGGGACAGGGGGCAACTGGCCCACCCCGCCCCCCATCTTTGGCCAGAGGATGTTTGGCAATATCTGGAAACACTTTGGTTGTCACGACTGGGGGACATACGACTGACATGCGGTGTGTCAAGGCCAGGGATGCTGCAAAATCCTATAACACACAGTACAGCCCTCCTGTCCCAACAGAATTATCCAGCCCCAAATGTCCCTAGTGTGGAAGCATTTAGAACAACACCCTCTTCTAAAGTGCATTGTGCTGCACTTCTGACTCAATAATAGGTCTCCATGGCGTGTCAGACGATCTCTTTCTACCAACCTGTGAGAGCCTTAGAGTAGGGAATTACGTTCTGTTCATCACTGCATGCCTAGCACCTAGCAGCAATGCAGCCTCTTGAGACATACCTATTGCACTGACAGAATAGCAAAAACATTCAAGTAAACAACAATGTGCGGCGGGTGCTTATCTGGCCTGTGCTGTTCTTTGCCAAGGCCAAGGCAAGGTTCTCGAAACATATTTGTGTTTGTTCGTTCAATAAATCTTCCCCTTAGCACCTGCCAGGCCCTCATTCCTATCCTCAAGGAGCATGGGATTCTAGAGAGGGTCATATGAGTTGACAGGCAATTATTTGATAGGTACTTTGATAAGAGTAACCCCCTGGAGGGCACTGAACCCAGCCCAGATAAGCGTGGAAGCCTTTCTTGGAAGAAGGAGCCAAATAAGCTATGACCTGAAGGATGGGTAGAAATTTGTTTGGTTGACGATGATGATGATGATGATGATGACGACGACGATGATAGCAATAATTTATTAAGCACTTTCTATAGGATGGGAGCTGTGCCAAGTAAGCACTTAATGTATTTTTTCCCTCCGTCAACCCAACGACAATCCTATGAGGTAGATACCACGATTATCTTAGTTGACAGATGAAGAAAATGAGTTTTAGTGAAGTAACTTGCTCAAGGTCATGTCATTAATAAGTGACAGGTCTCGGTTTGACTGTAAAGTCAGAGCTTGCCACCACCATACTCTGCCTGTTCCCAAGCAGGATAATAATAGTGATAATTGCTAATATTTCCTGGGCTCTTACGAAGGCATAGATGTCATATTAAGCAAGTGGATCGCATTGTTTTCACTTACCACGATGGGACTTACACCCAATGAGTTAGGTGCCATTACTACCCTGTTTCAGAGGAGGAGAAATTGAGTCTCAGAGAGACAAAGCCCAAGGTCGAGGACTTGACCCGGCTCTGCCTGACACCGAGCTGGGTTTGAATCATGTGATCAGGGACGAGGACGAGGACGAGGCCATGCTAAGAGAACTCTGTCTGCCAGCGCCGAGGGGTACAGATGCAGCAGGCTGGGGGCTCCGAGCAGCTGCTTATCTGAGGTGAAGTCCCAAATGGTTACCTGGGATGGCGACCAAGTTCTGCAGCTCCTGCTTCAGGTCCATGATGTCATTGCAGAGCTGGATGTCATCCATCCTGGGGAAACAGGACACCACACAGCAACAGGTTACATTGGCAGAACATGCTACACCCTCAGCACCACCCCAGTTTCAACGAAGAGAATTTAGGGGAGGGAGTTGGCCTTTGTAAAGGTCACACGGGCTCTTTATAGAAAGTTTTCTCCCAAAAGAAGAAAAATAAAGATGGCCTGTCTTCTTATGATGCGGAAATGATCAGTCACTGTTAATACCTTGATCGTGTTTCTCCCGGTCCTCACGTGCCTCGCGTGTGTTTGCTTGTATTAACGAGCTCTTTAGCAGGCTCAGTGTTTCCTTTTATCAGTTCGTTATTAAACACATTCGAACATCACAAATTCACAGCATAGATAGAGAAAGTCTCCCTTTATTCCAGGTCAGCGTATGCAAATCTTCTCATTTTTAATGGCTGTACACTACTCCATTATGTTGCTACACAGGGATTTATTTAATGATTCCCCTATTCATAAATGTAGGAGTTGTTTCCTAATACAATTCTAGGATAAATTCTTGGAAATGAATAAATTCCTAGAAAAACAAATTCCTAAAAATGCAATCGCTGGGTTGAGTAGCACGAACATGTGCATTTTAATAGGAATTTTCAAATTGCCCTCCAGAGGGATTGTGCGTGATATTTCCACCAACAGTGTGTGTGTTGCAATATTAACTCATCTTACTCAAAACGACATTTGGAACGGCTGCCTGGAATCTCACCAAGTAGATTTATCGGGGTCGTGTTAATTATGCCTTTATCGTGATTACTTAGGTGGGTTTTTCAGGTGGTGTGTGCTAATTAAGCTGCTGTAAGATGAACAGGAATGCACATAGTCTTTTTCTTTATGTTGGATTATTTTGGGTGGGGGCCGTAGATTCTCAGAAGTGGGTCCACTGAGTACAAAGAGCTCAGCATGTCTATGGCCATTGAGACATGTCATCAGATCGCTTCCCCGTGGTGTGTGTGTGTGTGTGTGTATGTGTGTGTATGTGTGTGTGCGTGCGTGTGCACCTTCATTCTGCACACCTTTATTGAGCATTTACTGTGTCTGCCACCGTCATAAGCTGCAGGGACTCAGTAGGCTCCCCTGACATCATGAGCTGAAATTTAGGCAGGGGAGACAGGGGAACACAAACAGAATGAAATGTCAGATGCTACAAAGGAGAAGAGTAAAGCAGGAGAGGGGATGGCGTGGGCCAGTCTGGACACACTATCCCCCTGTCCCGGGAAGAGACAGAGGGAAATATTAACATTCTCAAAAGGCTCGTCTGTGTCCCACAGCACATGGGGGTGGGACCAGGACAAGAAATTGACTCATCTGAGTACACTGATCCTTCTGCCTCCTTCCACAGGGTCTTCATCAACAACCTGGTCTGCTGCTTCCATTCAGAAGCTTGGTGGCCCCTGCCCTTTGCTGGTCAAGAACCGCCCATGTTACTCATTTCAATTCCAGTGGCCCAGCTTCCAGGACAAGTGCCAAGAGTGTCTCACTTCAGCCTGTGTCTCCTTTGGCCAGTGGCACTCCATCCAGTTGTCAGGCCCTGTCCTGGAATGTCCTAGCAGGTGGCAGCTGCCTCAGATGAGCTTGGGGGCTTGCGAGAAGGGCATGAAGTGTTCCCATGGGTTCCTGTCTGCAACTGTTCAACTCGAGGGGCTCCAGGACCTTTTTCCACAATTAGTACGAAGATCAGGCTACATCGGTGGTTTTTAACGAGGACAGTTTTGGTCCCCAGGGACACTGGGCAATGTCTGGAGACATATTTGGTTGTTACAACTGGGTGTGTGGGGGGGTTGCTACTGGCATCTAGTGGGTAGAGTCCAGGGATGTGCAGCTCCCCTCAAGAGAGAATTATCCGATCCAAAATGTTAATCGTGCTGAAGTTGAGAAATCCAGGGTCATAAACACAGAATTGACACAGGTACCTGACTAATGGTTTTTGAGAGATGAGAGGAAAAAAAGATGGCCAAAGGAAGAAAAGAGAGACAGGTCGTGTGACAAGCGGGAGTATAGACACTAAACAGCTCTGGTTCAAAAGGGCTGCTGCACACCAGTGATTTAATGTCTCTCAGTCTCTTTCCTTGTCTTTCAAATAGGAATTTTAACAGTACTTCTCCCTAGGATTATTATGCATGTCAGGTGCTGAGCACATGCCTAGGACACACATAGTAAAATGCTTGGTAAATGATATCTATTATCCTTATTAGCTGTTAGAAAGAAACAGGGAGAAAAAGAGAGAAAACGCTGCCGGACAAGCAATTTATTTGACAAGTGGAGCTAACGTGTTCAACTTCAAAAAAAAAATAATAATAACTTTCATTGATTATATTCTTTTCTACGAAAGTTTTAAATAAAATTCTTATCTGATTGTAGACCAGATCCTAGATCTCTGTAGAAATTTTGGAAAATACAAACACATTCGAAGAAGGAAGCTAAAATTGTGCATAACCTCGGCCCCCGTGTACCCAGACCCGCGAGTGTTTGGGTGGGGTTTACACCGGTCGTCCTCACACCTGTCACCCAGGTGTAGTGGGCTCACCTTAGGCGGCCTTGGCCCCCTCATCCTGTGTCCGTAAATAACCGCACTCAGCACGATCTGCACTGTCCCAAACCCATCTGAAGCCACCACACGTGAACAAGTGAGGTGGCCTTCTTCTGAAGCCATCACGGGGAATCATGCTGTAGCATGCTGTGAACACCTCTGTGGTTTTCCTCAAGGTCCTCTCCCTCTGCCAGCTTCCCACCTCTTCCCCTTCTCTCTCTCTTCCTCTTCCAAACACCCGGCAGGCAAAGGAGGGCCTTCAGGTCCCAAATAATTCAGCTCTATTCTTCAACTTACAAATTCCAGCTGGGAAAACCAAAGCCTGGTGGGATGGATGGGAAGAGGGAGGGAAGCCTGGTGGTAGAGAGGCAGCTCTTGCCGGAGACGTGGAACCTGAATCTGACTGAGTCCAAGTCCCTCCATGAATCTCCATTATGACTAAAAGAAAAACTCCGTTTTTCCATACACTCTGCACGTCTGACACCAAATGTGTGGGTTTTTCCACACCAAGAAATTCTCCAGTCCTCAGTGGACACCAGCTGGGTATCTACACTCTAATTCAGTCCTGACACTCACTGCCCAGAGTTAACGTAGACTCCACAGGTCAAGGGCTCAGTCCTACTTGAGATGCCGATCGCAAGTCCAGGCCACCAGAAGTACCCTGACCCACTCGCTATGAATCGGGGGTTTCTGTGACCTTCTCTTTCGGCTCCAGAGTGTGCTGGAACTACTCGCCAAACTTGGGGGAAACGTTTACACCCGTTTATGAGTTCATTATAAAGGATGCTACGAAGGATAAAGGTGAACAGCCTGACGAAAAGGAACATGGGGCAAAGTGTGGGGAAGAGTCGTGGAGCTTCCGTGTCCTCTCCGGATGCACCACCCTCCTGGCACTTCCACGTGTCACCATTGCGAAGACCCCCAAACATCAGACTGCAGGCATTTTCACGAGGCTACGTCACGTAGGCACCATCGATTATTAACTCAATCTCCAGCCCCTCTCCTCTCCTCGAGAATAGGGGATGACTTTGAAAGTTCCAAGCTTCTGATCACGCCTTGGTCTTTCTGGTGACCAAATCCCATCCTGAAGCTATCCAGGGGTCCCGGTTACCTGTCATCTCATTAGCATACAACATTTAGATACCCTTATCACTCTGAAAATTCCCCGGGTCTTAGAAGTTCTTGGGTCAGGAACCAGAGTCAAAGAACAAATAGAACAAAAAAGATGCCCCTAGCACTGTGATCTCTTGGGAAATTACAAGAGTTTCAGGAGCTCCGTGCCAGAAACTGAGGGTAAAGATTAAATATATTTCTTGTTATACCACAATGACTTTGGGCAAGACGCTGCCCTCTCCAGACCTCTGTTTCCTGGTGTATTAAATGAGGGGTTTCGGCAATTCCTGGAGTCCTGTTCTGTTAGTGCATAGTGGCATTAACGTGCTTTAGACTCAGTCGAAGCTGAGTGTGGATCTCAGCTCCACCATTTATTGGCTGTATGACTCGGGCAAGTCCCTTCACTGCTGAGTCTCACTGTTGAAAGGAACAATACATTTGCCTCGGGGTCGTATGAGAATAAAATAAGCTTACGTGTGGGGAGCGGGCACAGGAAAGGGTACTCCCATCCACCCCTCCGCCATGGGTAAGGAGGTGACAGCTGGGCTGTCAGCTGGCAGTCAGTCTTGGAAAATCTTAGCCAATATGTCTGCGTCAAAGAATGAGTCTCACTTTCGTGTGTTCTTTCGATTTCCTCACACCTCATGGCACTGAGATGACGAATATGCACATTTGTTTCGTGTTCTTGGATTAATGAGCTGCAGCGCTCCTCTTGGGAGAGAATAAGTGTTGAGACATCTCCAGGGAGCCCGTGAGCTCGGCCATCTCTCCGTGTCATGCTGGGGACCAGGGGACCCGAGGGGTGTCTGCCATGAGCTCAGGTGACACATCTCTGAAAGGGACGCCTTTGTGATGCATCACTGATGACCATGCTGTCTGTTTTCTCCCTGTCTGTGTGTCAATTGGCTTTTCCCTTGGGTAGAAGCCCAACCTCATTCCTGGGTGTGGCACTGTTCTCAAAAGGTTGTCACCTTCTTCAAGCACAAATTATCCTCCTCTTAGCCCAGGGTTTTCCAGATTGACTGTTTTGATTCATCTTAGAAAAAAAACTAACAACGCAAAACTCATCAAGCTGAACACTTGGGATTTCTGCCCTGTTCTGTGTCTATTATCAATTAAAAATTTACCTGATTAAAAAAAAAAAACACCAACAATATTGTTTAGTGTTGCTTTAGACCTAAAAGGGTACTTTTGGTCTTTTAAAAAATTATATAAATATTATATAAATATGGCCTCCCTGTAAAAAGGCCAAACAATACAGAAGTATAATCACAGCTGGCACTTATTAATGTTTTTGTAATATCGGCACTAGGCTCTGGGCCAAGTATTTGACACGAATCATCTCAATTAACT